TATAAATCAGAATGCGGGTATAGAACATTTTGATCATCCAAAAAGTTTACTTGTGCCCATGTTTAGCCAATCCCTGCTCTTACCCAGGCCGAGAAAAAACTGATCTCTTTTTACTGTCTGCAGATTTGCCTTTTATGCAAATCTCACAAAAATAGAATCACAAACTATGTGGCTTTTGTGACTAGATTCTTTTACTTTTCAATTTTGAAGTTCATCAATATCATAGCACATATCAGTTTGTCCTTTTTATTAAGACAATAGCATTATTACATGGATATACTACATTACATATGTAATATGTATTCAAATTTTCTGCCTATTGTTAAATTGAATAATTTTTCTTATTTTTGAGTTGTAGGAGTACTTCACATATTCTGGATGCATGTCCTTTATCAATTATTGAGAATAAGTTTTTTAAATGCCTAACTATAATTGTTTTGTATTTCTCCTTTTAATTTTTATCAGTTTTTGCTTCATCTATTTTTGAGATGTTGTTGTTAGGTGCAAATATATTTGTAGTTGTTACACTTCCTGATGCTTTGACTTTTTATCATTGTGAAATGTTCCTCTGATCTCCAGTAATATTTCTTATCTTAAAGCCTATTTTGTCTGATAATACAGCTACTTCAGCTTTCTTTGAGTTATTCTGTGTATGGAATATCTTTTCCCATCCTTTCCAACCTGCTTGTCTTTTAATCTGATGTGTGTCTCTGATAGACAGCATATAATTGAATTTTGCTTTTTTTCAAAATCCAATCTGACAAACTCTGCTATTTATATTAAGTATTCAGTCTATCTACATTTAATGTAGCTATTCTTATAGCTGTATTTATGCCTGCCATTTTGCCACTTGTTTCCTGTATTCCTCATGCCTTCTTCTGTTTCTTTATCCCTCCTTGGTTTCTTTGTGTTAAAATATTTTAAGCAAAACTATTTTCCATAAAGATGGCACCATTTCACATTCCCACCAGCAATGTATGAAGGTTCCAGTTTTTTCATATCCTTACCAACACTTGTTATTTTCAATTTTATTTTAATTTTTTGGGGACAGTACTAGGGGGAGCTTGAACTCAGGGCCTTGCATTTTTTAAGCAGGTGCTCTACAACTTGAGCCACTCCCCCCCTATCTTATTTTCAATTTTATAGTATAGCCATCCTGATGTGTGATGGGATATCTCATGTTTTGAACTCAGGGCCTACACCTTGAGTCACTCCACCAGCATTTTTTGTGATGAGTTTTTTTTGAGATAGGGTCTCATGAACTATTTTGCCTGGGCTGGCTTTGAACTGCGTTCCTACTGATCTCTGCCTCCTGAGTAGCTAGGATTGCAGGCATAAGCCACCAGCACTGGACTCTCATTATGGTTTTGATTTACATTGCCCTGATAACAAATGGTGGTCATGTCATGTGCTTATTGATCTTTTGTCTGTTTTCTTCAGAGGAATGTCTATTCGAGTATTTTGCCCATTTATTAATAGGGTTATTTGTCTTTTTGTTGTTGAGTTGCAAGAATTCTTTATATAGTCTAATGATACACATACATAGCAAGAGTAGACTGTCACTAGATATTATTTACAAATGTCTTTTCCCTTTTTTGGGCTATCTTTTCACTCTCTTGACAGTGTTCTTTTATATATAACAGTTGTTAATTGTGATGAAGTCTAACTTACCTACGTTTTCCTTTATTGCTTGTGCTTTTGATATTTTCAGCTAGGAAACCATTGCCAAATTCATGAGACGGTTTAAAGTTTAATATTTTCCTGGGCATTGTTCAAGGCTGAGACCCAGAGTTTAATAACCTTCATTTTAATAACCTTATCTAAAACTTCACTCCAGAAAGAAGATAACTTGGGAAAGAAAAATCACATACAGTGCCATTCTCTTTAATTTTGGATCTACCGTTTAAATGCAGGAACCCATAGTAACACAGGAGGAGAGGCATGAACTGTGCCCAAAGCGAACTTCAAGGAGTTCAAAGTGTTCTGAACCACTAAGAACTTACTCTTCAAATAACACACGTAGCAGACTTCAAGTGTCTTGGGGATCAACTATACAATTAGATTCCCAAGTTAACTTTTTAATTAATTTTTACTAGGATAAATACATCCTAATATTATACAGGGGACTCATAGTGATAATTCCAATTAGACTTACATTGTACATTAGTTGCATTGCCCCCTCATCCTGACAAATTAACTTCTATGTAGAATATAATGCTCATTGTTCATTAAAGGCAAATCATAAAAATATGCTAATTTAAATCCTATTCAAGAATAATCACAATGGGCTAACTTGCAACTTGGACCACTGAAAACTTTCTCAGGAGTATTATGTGACCGATATTCTTTGAGTTGTCTGAGCATACTCACGATTAAATGTCACTGACTGGAGTCCTTACTCCCATTTCCTGCACAGAGAGCAGGAAATGTTTCTCTTTTCCCCCATTTCTCTCTACTTTTATCCCGTTGTACAAAATTCCTTTCCTAATAAGCTTTACTGTTACATTCACTAGTTTAAAAAATCACTGACTTTTTAGTTCTTTTAGTATTGTTTTAAAATTCTCTACAAACACCCCCTTACTTTTTGCACACAGAGTGGACTACTTTTACTACGCTGCTCTATTAAGCATATTAATGTTACAACTTCCTTGGAAAAATGGTTCTCAAAGCGTGGTTCTCAGGCCAGCAGCTTCTACGTCACCTGGGTTTTTTGTGGTGTTGTTTTTTTGGTGGGACTGGGGTTTTAACTCAGGGCTTAACGCTTGCAAAGCAGGCACTTATCATTTAAGCCATGCCTCCATCACCGAGGAACTTACTAGATATAACATTCTTGGCTCCAGCCAAGACCTTCTAAGTCAGCAGCTCTGGAGTGGAACCCTGCAATCTGAGTTTGAATACGCCCCCTGGATGATTCTGATGAGGGATTCTGATGCAGGGTTTTAGAATGGCTGTCTTAGGATGTAGAACCTGCCATACCTAGGAGACTGGAGCCTCAGGTGGTATTAGTGAATCCAGAGCTGTGAGATGATAGTGTAAGAAAAGAAAAGTAGTCACTGGCTATAGATTGTGGCAGACTTGGACATCTCTCCCTCCTTCTGCCAGTGGAGAAATGTGTCCCTGAATGGTAAACAGAATGTTTTAGCTTCTAGTCCTTCAGTCTCCATGGTACAAACACTGACTCAGTTAGGAATCAAAGAAAGACTCCTGGAGACTGTGGTTGCTAAGAGCAATGGGCTTTAATTTGTTCTTTTCTTTGAGGAACCTGCTACTGTGCAGCTGTTGGCACCTTGGGCTGTCACACTCATGCTTGCTGCTCCCCCTCGGTTGTTTCTCCATGTAAGTATACCTTCAGTGTTGGCAGCCCACGGCATGTGATTCAGCCTTTGTGGGGGAGGCTAGACACCCAGTGTGCCAAGAACAGAATTTGCCATTTCAACTCTATTTGAAAGAAGCTTTTTTTCCTGCTTCATTCATCACATATTAAAACTTTACTAAGTGCCAAAGAATTGTGCAGTGGGCTGGGGTTACAGTGGTAAACAAACTGACAAGGTCCCTGCTCTCAAAATACTCTTTCTCTAGTAGGAGAGAAGGGGGATGTAAAAACCAAACACAAATCGTGCTGTGTGATATGATATCTAACAGCTCCCTTCAGAAATGCAGGAGAGAGACTGATGCTCCTCATTCTTCCACAAAATTCACCTACCTAAACCTCTCCAAAGATGGGAATTGCCAAAATTTAGTCACGTGAAAAGATGAGTCCTTTTTATTGTCTTCCGATTTGCTTCTGGGCTTGAGCTCATCACTGACATCATGCACTCATGTCTCCAGAGCACAGAGCACTTGATGAGAGTGGTAGTAATGGTATGTGATCATTTTTTCCGTTCTGGTATATTCTGGCCCAGTCATTTCTGGGAATCCTTCTAAAGAGGATAATAATGTGCTTTTTAGAGGAACAACAACAATAAAAAAAAGACTACCCTGCTAGATAGCACTGTAATTTTGCACTCTCCATAAACAAATGGAATTATTATTTTGCTAATATGTGTAAACTGCTTGCACTGGCTGGGTGTCATGGGACAAACGGTGTAAAATCTCTCTCTCCAAAAGCTTCTATGGCACCGGGTAAGGTGTTTCATGAATGTAGTTCCAGCTATTCAGCAGGTGAGACCCTACGTAGCATTTATATCACCACCACTTCCCTACCATGGACTGAATTCAGTCAGAAGCTGTTGCCTCGTCTTCCTTTCCCCCACAGCACTCTGAATTCAGCATCCGGGTGACGAATCGTTGAAGTGTCCTAACCTCAACCACCATCAAGCATCCCTTCCTTGGTGCTGACATGCTGCCTCTCCTAGTTCCTGGACACCCTAGCCTGAGTTCACACAGGTCAGGAGCTCTGGGGACTTTTTTGTTTTGTTTTGTTTTTCAGCTATTTCAAAGTGTAAAAACCATTTTAAAAAAAATCCTTTTAGCAGCACTGATATTTGAACTCAGGGCCCAAGTCCTCTAGGACTTGAGCTAAGCCCTCAGTCCTCTTTGCTTTACGTTCATTTTTCAGAAAGGGCCTTGTGCCTTTCCCTGGGGTCACAGACAGCTATCCTCCTATCTCTGACACCCAAGTAGCTGGGATTACAGTCTTACAACACCACGCCCTGCCTAAATACCATTCTTAGCTCCTGTGCTTCCAAAAATAGGCAACAGAGCGTCCCACGGACCACAGCTTATCTGTAGCTGATCATCTGCGTGTGATACCCCGGGTGATTCGGTCAAGATTTGCTTCCCTTAACACCACCAGCACCGGGAGCACACGCTCCCGTCAACTCCTTCACCACCGCGCGCCTCCCGCAACGCGGGACGTTAAAGAGTCAGAAGCCGTGCCACTCACGTAAGAGTGGGCGGGGCCTGCACTTGTCGAGACGCGGGGGCGTGGCGAGGGGGCGTGGCGAAGGCAAGGGGGCGGGCCGAGGCCGGCTTCCGGCGGAAAAACGCCGGCGCAAGATGGCCACTACTAAGCGTGTGCTGTACGTGGGTGAGCAGGCGCGGGCCTGGGCCCGCGGGTCCCGAGTGGGTCGGGGCGTGGAGAGGGACGGGTCCCCGCGGGGGGAGGGCGGCGGCATTGCTTTGCCTTAGGGTGTGAGCCCGAGAGGAGCCGGTCATTCCGTCTCCCTCCACAGGAACCTGGAGAAGTGGTAGAGGAATGTTACGGTCTTCCAAATCCTCGCGCCCTTTAATCTTCAGGAATGACTCAGCCTCTGCCCTAAAGAAAGGAGTTCCCAGACTAGTTAGGAGGAAGTGGGGAGAGCCCCAAACCACGCTCTGGTGGGAACGGACCATGGGGCTTGTATTGGGAGAAATGGCCCTTCCACGAGGAGAGATGAGGGTAAACTTTGCGGATGCGGGAGTTAGACAGGTAAGTCCTCTGCAAGGGAGCCGAAAGAGCGGAAGCTCAGAGGTGTGAAATAGCCCGACACTTGGGGCAGGTGGATCATTTTTGGCAAACCCAGGAAAATTCGGGAAGCAAAGTGAAAGATGCCGGAGAGATGGGCAAGGATCGGGTTATGAAGAACCTTGTGTTCACTGCTAAGGTGTTTGCACTGTAAGCCTTTGAAGTTTAAGCAGAGAAGTGATGAGTTCAAATTTTACTAAGATCTTCCTGATTGGCTTTGTGGGGTTGGCACAGGCAGTGGAGTGAGGGAGGTCAGTTATAAAGCTATTGCAGGAATCCTGGAGCTAGATGGAGGTCTGAAAGGATGAAGAGAGAAGTGTGCTTTGTGTATGGATGGGCAGCAGATGAGAGAGCTGTTTATGTAACCAAAGGAGTGGGTGGAGAGATCCTTCCTTTGGCTAGCATGCTAACTGGCAGTTTGGACTCATGCAAGTGTCAAGGGCAGAGGTTCAGAAGGTCCTTGGCTTATTTGCAGGTGGACTGGCAGAAGAGGTGGACGACAAAGTTCTTCATGCTGCTTTTATTCCTTTTGGAGACATCACAGATATTCAGATTCCTCTGGATTATGAAACAGGTAAGTTCTTTTGGTGTGTCTTATGTTCAAAGGCCTCCTACTAGGAAAAGAACTTTAAAAAAATTAAAGTCATATCACAATTCTGAAGTTGCTTTCTCAGGAAGGTTCCTCCAAGCTTGTCTAGCACGTAGGACAATCTCCTATGGTTTAATCCCCAACACCGCAAAAAAAAGAAAAAGAAAAGAGGGCATTTTTAAAGATAGTTGGTATATGGGAAAGTTTAAGTCAGCAAGACAGTGACATTGATGCAGAAATAATGTTCTAAAACTGTGGTTATGGGCTGTAAATACTTTGCAAAGTCTCCCTCTGTTGGGTTTGATATTTGACATAAGACAAATTTTTCAGTAGACCAAGAGGAATGAACTATATCATTCTGAGTTTTGTTTCATACTGCCTTCCAGGCTACACCTTCACACCTCCTCCTTTCTTGGCAATTCTGTTAAGTGAGGCATCAGGAAATCCTGCTTTTTAAATAAATTTATATTGACTTCCTAAGGGCTCTTTTAGTGTCTGAGTTCTAAATTAACACTTGTCATTGGCCTCTAGTTAGATCAGCATTTGCCTGAGGGTAATGACTGAATATCCTTATCAGGTTTTAGGATTTGTGCCTTATGCAAAGTTAGTGCTCAAATTGTACATTTGGTTGCTTGTTGCTCAAGCTGGTTTCAAACTGGCAGCCCTCCTGCCAGCTGGGATTACAGGATACAGGTGACCACCTCTGCTCCAAGCTTCACATTGTATATTTGGATGAACCCCTGTCCCACCCTGAAAAATAATGATAATAATTGAATGCTCATTTTAAACACTAAAAATATAGTTTGTTACTTAGTTATGTCCATGAAGAAGTTTATTACTGATTAAAATGTTGTTTAAGAGGAATGAAAGAATGAGATTTCCTTCTTCCTAAACAGTGATTAAGTAGAATTTCTGGTGTCTGGGTATGACATATAACTGATTTTACATTCTTTAGGCCTGTTTTTTCTTGTTGCTCCACATGGTAATTACTTGGCTTTTTGTTTTGTTTCTTTTCCCCTTTTTACAGAAAAGCACCGAGGATTTGCTTTTGTTGAATTTGAGTTGGCAGAGGTAAGAAAATTCTGTGCTATCTTTGTTTAGTCTTTGGTTTGTGTTATTGTTACTGATTACAAAGGAAGCTATTCTTCATTTGGTTTGGATTCTGGGCCTTAGACTGATGCTTTCAGATGGCCAAAAGTGCTGCTTGAAAGAAAGCTTCTCACTTAATCAGACTGGGGACTATAGACAAGATCTTAGACCTTCTTCCAGACTCTGCTCCTCTGGAGCTCCTACAAATGTGTTCATTGAGCATTCTTGCCTCACATGCTGGCTGTTATTTCTTATATCTTCAGCTAGATGGCAAATTGCAGGACCTCAAGCTCAAAAACCAGCCAGGAAAGTGCTCTTAACTTAGTCATGCACACAAGGGGCAGCAGTGTAGAAGTGACCTTTTCCTGGTTGTTTTGCTGCTGGGTATGTGTTTAGATAACACAGGAAGTATTCAACTGCAAGCCTAAGCTTATACTTTGTCTTTCTTTGGCAGGATGCTGCAGCAGCTATCGACAACATGGTATGGTTGGGAATCCTCATTCTAACTGAAGTTGCCTTTTGGTGGTACAGAGGGTCCTTGTTCACATATTGGTTTTCTGAACCTCCAAAGTGTCAAGGTTGTGTGAGGAAGTAAAAATTGTCATCATGTGAAAATATTCGTTGTGAATTTATCCCTTGTAAAATTAGTTCTTATTCAGACACCTTTCCGTATTTAGCAGTAGTGTACATCGTAATCATTCTGTTGGCATGTTTCACGGCTCTCCCATGCTTCGGATAATAAATGGCAAATGCAAAGCAAATTAATTGCATAGTGAAACTGCATATTTTGCAAAAGCGACAGTATTTCATGAAGTGTTTAGACGAATTAACAATTGAGAAGTTCAAGAAGGATGACGACAAGGTGTGCTATTGACACAAATAATTTGAATGTCCTGGAAAAGTCCGTGGGAATGGTGGTGCTCTTCAGTGTTTGTGTTCTCCTTGAGATCCTTACCACATTTTCCTGTCAGATGAGATGTGCAAAGGAATATCATACTGCTGATAGAATTTTGTTGGGAAAAAAATCTTCAAACTAATCATCTGTTTTACATGTTTGTATTATAGGTCAGTGCATAGTTAAGCCTAAATATTAGCTAAACCACACTTATATTTTCATTAGTTTCCTTTTTTTTGGTGGAACTGGGTTTTGAACTTAGGGCTTTGTGCTTGCAAAGCAGGCACTCTACTGCTTGAGCCATACCTCCACCTCATTATTTCTAGTTTCATCACAGTCGCTGTTTTCACTTTTATCTTGAGACAGGGTCTCACTAAATTGCCAAGGCAACTTGTGGTCCTCCTGCCTCTGCCTCCTGAGTGCTTGGATTGCAGGTGTGCACCACCGTGCTCCACTTTTTTTCATTTTTTTGCCTTGAAATGTTTACCACTGCCTTAAGAGAGTCACATGAAGTGACCTTTCCCAGAGCTGGTTATGTTTGGATAGTGAAGCTGTCCTTTATTCCTGTTCTCTATTACTCATTCGCCATACATACTCCTTAGCTGTCAGAGAAATCTTTTTCACTAATTCAAAGCTGATCGTGGCTTTTGAAGGTAAACTCAGGTTCTGGGAAATTGTATTTATCCTTGTAATTCCAGAGTCTCCTGAATTCATGTCCTTGTCTACTATATTGAAAGAAAGGTGTGTGACGCCCAAGGAAGGAAATTCCCTGCAGTTTCTTCCTTGTGTGCTGTTTTGTGGTGAGGCACCATTTGTGCTAAGGACTCAGGGATGAAGGGAGAAGAAACCATGGCTCAGATGTGAATGGGAAGCTTTCTGGCTCTAATCTGACAGAGTCTAATTTTTTTCAGAATGAATCTGAGCTCTTTGGACGGACAATTCGTGTCAATTTGGCTAAACCAATGAGAATTAAGGAGGGCTCTTCTAGACCAGGTGAGTGGGGTCAACTCACAGATTCCCTGTTGTGCCCTCCAGTCTGGCTTCATTGCATTTTTATTGCTATTTAAATGAATGCTAGCTGTGCGGCACCTTGGATCACGCCTGTAATCCTTGCTACTCAGGAGGCAGAAATCAGGAGGATCATGGTTTGAAGCCAGCGTGGGCAAATAGTTCATAAGACCCTATCTTGAAAAATCTCTCCACAAAAAAAGGGCTGCTGGAGTGACTCAAGGTATAGGCCCTTGAGCCCCGATACCATGGCGGGGGGCCCGGGGGATAGGAATGCATGCTAAATGCTGCCTCTTAGATGGGGACAGGAGGGGAGGGTGCTTCACATTGGCGAAGGACATATGCCACCTTTACAGGGAAACAGTCTGAGCTCTGTAGCAAAGCCAGGATAACTATTTCTCTTGAGAGAAACTCTGCCTGGTCTCTTTTTTTTTTTTTTTTTTTTTAATTTTTATTTTTGGCAGTACTTGGGTATTGAACTTAGGGCCTAATGCTTGCTAGGTAGGTGCCTTACCACTTGAGCTACTCCACCACCCCTTCATGGTCTCTCTCTTTTTTTTTTTAATAAAAAGTTCAATGGAGCTATTAATTTTGTTTCATTTTCAAGCAACCAGGGTTTGTATATTGGCTTTAATGTCAAAATATGTTCATTACTTCGTGGTCTCCTCCATCTTCCCAGTTTTCTTGGCACTCCATTCCCAAGGAAGGGTTGAAACCTGCAAGGGCATTTTTATGTAGTCCTACTGAGAGCTGGACTTCAGGGCATTCCTGATGGGAACTTTCCTTAACCTTTGGGCATTACTCAAAGGCAGCCCCTCTGGCCAAGAGGACCAGATAGACCTTCCACCTGCCGACTTAGCAGTTGCCTGACAGTCTCAGTTTCTTAGCATTTGTTTGATTCTTTCAGTTTGGTCAGATGATGACTGGTTGAAGAAGTTTTCTGGGAAGACTCTTGAAGAGAATAAAGAGGAAGAAGGGTCAGAGCCTCCCAAAGCAGAAACCCAGGAGGTGAGAACAAAGGCTCATGCTTCTAGACGAGGGGCTGGTGCTTTCCACAGAAGACTTTTTTTTTAAAAGGTTTTAACATTTATTTGTTTGTTTATTTTTTTGGTACTGATGTTTGAATTTAGGTTCTTAATGCTTGCTAGGTATGTGCTCTACCACTTGAGCCACAACTCCAGCCATTAAAAAAGCTTTTATGGAAATTTGCAAATATATATGCAGAAGCAGAAAGCATAGATACTGAATTTAGTATTTTAGCAAAGGCTGTGAATAAAAAGAGAATCTTTGGGTGTCACATCTTTGTGCTGTGCTCAGGCATGGACTCTAATGCAGCTGACAAGGAAGATGAGGGCTCCTCTTGTTCTTTCCTCACGCAGGGGCGACAGGACAGGGTGGCAATACCTTCCCGTCAGCCTATGCATGGATTCAAGGCTCTCCTTTCCTAGAAGCCCTGCCCTGGCACTTTCTCCTGGTTTCAACACACCTCCCTGACCAGTGCTGTATGGGCTTCCCCTCCTCTGCGTTTCTCTTCCCTCAGTTGAAACAATAGTAATCAACTCAGACTGCACACAACTTGGATGCTGTACTGTTGACTTTTGTGGTCTTTGTTACTAGCACTGGGCTTCATGTAGTTCTACCTTCAAGCCTCATCGGTGGCTTCAGGTTGCATGGATGAGTTTCCCACTGCTCTTACCTTAATCCTCCTGTGTTCTCATTCTTGGTTAATTTGCTACCACCCATGCACACATTGGCCTAAGCTAGAAGTTTGGATGCAAAGCAGAATGCCTTAAGTGGCCCTTAGTGAACTTTCCTTCCTGGGTCACTCTGGACCTCTTAGGATGAAACCAGTGACAGCACTTTGTTCTGCCAAGTGTTTCTCAAAATCTTCTTGAAGTCCCCCTCTTCCCCCTTTGTGCTGTGCTCGCAGTCTAGCTTCTCGTCTTTCAATTGGATAATTATCTGCAGCAGCTTCTTGTTTGGCTGGTCTTTTGGAAGCACAGGTGCAGTCATTAGTGTTCCTGCTCAGAACTTTTCCCTTCTCCCTGTCTCCTGGGACAGCAGGGGCTCCAGGCTCGTGATCCCACCACTGCTGTACCACATGTCTGCTTGTTATTCTCTGCTTAGACTCATTGACTTAGTGCGCACAGCAAGGCCTCAGCCTCCAATGTCCTCTAAGAACTTAGCTTGAGCAAATGGGCTTCCCCTTGCTTCCACAGTAGCATGTGACACAACAGCATGTTACAGTACGGACTGGGCATGGAGAGAGAAGGTGGTTGTGTGTGAGTGAGTCCACTACCTGCAGTAAGGGTGAGCGTGGGGAGACACCCTGGGGTGGGGCTGCAGTTAAGAGTGCTGAGGTCTCCTGTCACCTGGATGCTGCGGCTGTGGTTCCTGCCTTCTGCAGTCCCGTTAGGGCTCAGGGCATTCCCTGTCAGCACCTTCATCCAGCCACTCTCTGGAGTCATGTTCTGGGGCTATGCAGAATACTCTATGCCAGTGTGGGGAGTTCACTCTAACTAGTGCTTTCTTGTGCACCTAGGGAGAGCCCACTGCAAAAAAAGCCCGGTCAAATCCTCAGGTATACATGGACATCAAGATCGGGAATAAGCCAGCTGGCCGGATCCAGATGCTCCTCCGCTCCGATGTTGTGCCCATGACAGCAGGTGAGCAGTCTCCTGTGGTCAGGTCAGTGGGAGTTTGGTGGCTGAGCCCTGAATCTTCCCAGCATTCCTGCTGCCTCAGTTCCTGTGCTGTTACAGCATTTCTGACCTGAGCTAATTTGAGATACCTCGGATCCTGAGATCTAGTAACAAAGTGAAAACAGACATTTTTGAAGCTGTTGAAGTGCTGCCTTACTATTTTTCAGTAATTTTAATATAAGTAAATAAAGTTCATGTTTTAAAAAAAAATAACACATACATTCCAACAATATTACATTCACTCATGCACTCTAAAAGTAATCTATGCTGTTTCTTTCTTTTTTTGGGGCAGTATTGGGGTTTTGAACTCAGAGCCTTGCACTGGCTAGGCAGGTGCTCTACCACTTAAGCCACACCTCCAGCCCTTTTTTGCTTCAGTTATTTTTCAGGTAGCATCTTGTGATTTTGCCTGGGGCTCTCTTTGGACCGAGATCCTACTTAGACTTCACCACAGCTGGGATTATAGCCATGTACCTCCATGCCCATTTTGTTGGTTGAGATGGGGTGCTAACATTTTGCCCTGCCTGGTGTCAAACTGCAATCCTCCACCTCTTGAGTAGCTGGGATTACAGCTGTGTACCACCACACACACATCACTTCCTGTTGCTCCACCTGTGCTGTTTCTTGAGTATCCTTTCTAGTTTGATAAATACTGACTTTTATTTGTTCTTTTCTATGTAAATTTCATTATGTACACATATGGTTAAAGAGTCCACATTATAAAACTTGTTTTGTGTTGTCCCATGCCCTCCTCTGCCCTGCCATCAACACCATTTGCTCCTCCTCAGAGGTGGCCAATTTCAACTCTTACTGATTCTTTTGGTTTTGACTTCCCCATTAGTAGGTAACAGTTTTTATATTCCTGATTTTTTTCCATTCTTATCATTATCTTCTGATTGATTTTCTGCTTCAGAAAAAGAATTAGCTTATTTTTCATGGTACTGGGGTTTGAACTCAGGGCCTTCACCTTGAGCTACTCTGCCAGCCTTTTTTTTTTGTGAAGGATTGTTTTGACATAGACTCTCATGAACTATTTGCCAGGCTGGCTTTGAACCTCGATCCTCCTGATCTCTGCCTCCTGAGTTAGGATTACAGGTGTGAGCCACTGCTACCTGGCCAAGAATTAAGTTTTTAAAATCCCCTTCTGTGCTGCCTTATCTTTCCTGTTTAACCATAAGTTTAGTTAAGTCCTGGACTATTTTAGCAATGTAAGAATCATTTGTTAACTTCTTTCTGTACGCAGCATTTTGTTTTTATTTGAAATTGATAATTGCTTATGTACTTATTCCTGATTCCTTCCCAGACTGAAGGCTGTACATCCAGCTTTTTGCCATCCTGGTGGGGGAGATAGATACGGGGTTGAATGTCTCAACATTCACTTAGTCTCCATTTGTCATTGTGGTACCTCAGCCCTCAGCTACGTGTAGGGTAGCTGGCCCAGACCTTCTGCTTGAACCCATCAGAGAGAGAACCTTCAGCTGGCTTCCAGGACAGATCTAGGAGAAGACCCCAGCTGCAGAGTCTAGGAGAAGATGTCGGGTTAACTGCTGCTTTAAACAGGACTCAGCTAGACTCTGGTTTTGGCCCATTTAATAACTGGATTGTCTTGTCTTTATGTTTTGAATTATAGGAGTTTGTGACATATCTGGGTATAAACCATTACCAAATATGATATACCGTATTTTTCCCATTCTGTGGGTTGCCTTTCATTCTGTTGGTAGTGTTCTTTATACCTAAGTTTTAAATTTTGGTAAAGTCTGATTTATCTGTTTTTGTTTGGTTCGCTGTGCATTCATGTAAGAAACCACTGCCGACCCCGAAGTCGTGAAGATTTGTCCTGTGTTTCTTTCTAAGATCCTTTGGGGGCTCCTTTTAAAAAATCACTTTACCACCACTCAAGTGTGGTTTGGGGAGGCAGCAGAGCTAGAATGCACATACTCAGTTCTCCCTCTTTAATCAGAATATGCCCTGTTGTCCTTTAGGAGGTCAATATCATAAATGTTTATAGTGAATTTTTTTAAAACAAAAATTCAGTCATCATTCCCTATCCATGGGATCTACACCTTAGTTCAACCAACTACAGATCAAAAATATTTGGGAGAAAAAAAACTCATCTGGGGCTGGTGAAATGGCTCAAGCAATAGAGGGCCTGCCTAGCAAACATGAGGCCCTGAGTTCAAACCCCAGTACCGCCAAAAAAAAAAATCGAAAGAAACTCATCTGTATTGAATATGTTTGGATTTTTTTTTCCTTTCCATTCCACACACAGTACATTTTTGACAGCTATTTACATCGCACTAGGCATTACGTAGTCTAGGGATGACATGACAATTCGGTGGGGGGGGGGTGTGGGTTAGAAAGGCTTGCGCACACTCAGATTTTGATTCCCGTGTGCATGCTGTACCGACATTAAACAAAATACGGTTTCAAAGGTTTTGTTGCCTTTTAACCTCAGCACTGTTTCCCCTCTCTACCTCAGAGAATTTCCGTTGCCTGTGCACCCATGAGAAAGGCTTTGGCTTCAAGGGAAGCAGCTTCCACCGTATCATTCCCCAGTTCATGTGCCAGGGCGGGGACTTCACAAACCACAACGGCACCGGGGGCAAGTCCATCTACGGGAAGAAGTTCGATGATGAAAACTTCATCCTCAAACATACAGGACCAGGTAGCTGCCCAGCAGAGTGTGGTGACGGGCTGGGCCAGGGCAGAATGGCTGTACAGGCTGGAAGGATGGGCTGTGGTTCTGGCTGAGGGGCAGGCTTGGGAAGACCCAGTTTCTGAATGCAAGAGAAAAGTTCAGCCTTACTGGGGTGAGTCTGCTTGCTTGTGACCATGTACTGCCCATTCCCCCTTCCGCCGTGCTCTACTCCTTAGTAGCCTAGCTTAGATTCTGTGGTCTGCCATTACAAGCTGTCTCTTGTGCCCTCAATCCTCAGTCAAGTCCTCGCCCACACCCTCAGTCTGACTTAACCTTTACCTCTTGAAGCCTCAGTGGTTGATCCCCCTGCAACTAGAAAAAGAATTGTGCTGAGCAGTCCCACTTGAAGTTTATGACTACAGCTGACTCCCTAGTTGGTGCTTGGTTCCAATTAGAGATGATGACTCCATGCCTGTCCTCAATCCTGAAGCCTCCATATCACCTTCCTACCTCATCTGATGCCTCGCTTCCTTCCTCTCCACACATGCATACTCTGGCTGCCCTCTAGTTACAGAGGCCAGGCTCTCCCCTACTTGGGAACTCCTGCCAGTGTCCTTCTCTACCATGTATAATGTATTTCCTCACTTTGCTAGATTGACCCATCAACATACAAGCATGCAGTATCAATCTTTTAAAAACAAATCATCCTTGGCAAAGGACATTGACTCACACCTATAATCCCAGCTACCAGGGAAGCAGAGATTAGGAGGATTGCAGTTATAGGCCAGCATGGGCAAAAATTTAGCAAGACCACATCTCAACATGCAAGTTCGGTGTAATATTACACAGCTGTAATCCTAGCTATGTAGGAGGTGTAGATAGAAGGATTGTGGTCCAAAGCCTGGGCAAAAAGCATCAGTACCCTATCTGAAAAATGAGTGACACAACCCCGCTCATCCTGCCTCACTAGAGAGTAAAGACGGAAGTGCCCCAGCCACAGGGTCCGCATCCCAAGCCCAAGCTGCCCTCAGAGAGGCTGCCTACAGTCTGCACAGTAGGCTTTCAGGGCTGGGAGCAGGTGGAGGGAGCTGACAAGGTCATTCTCTCCCCAGGCCTCCTTTCCATGGCCAACTCCGGCCCAAACACCAATGGCTCCCAGTTCTTCCTGACCTGTGATAAGACAGATTGGCTGGACGGCAAGCACGTGGTGTTTGGGGAGGTCACTGAAGGCCTGGATGTCTTGCGGCAGATTGAGGTAGGTGGCCGAACAGCCCTTTCCCCACCCGGGTCCCTGGTGCATAGCTCTGTGGGAGGTTGGAGGGGACGCCCTGTGGCTGGGGAGGTTCCAGGTGGGGGTGGGGTCCCCTGAGCAGCTCCTCGCTCCCTCAGTCCCTGACTTCTCTTCTGCTCTGTCTGCAAAGGCCCAAGGCAGCAAGGATGGGAAGCCCAAGCAGAAAGTGATCATCGCCGACTGTGGGGAGTACCTGTGAGCTGGACCTGCTCTGCGCCTCTGCTCTGCGCCTCTGCTCTTGCCCCTGTGGTCGTGGCTCAGAGTGTCGTGTGAAACAAGCCATGGGGTGGCTGAGCCCTTTCTCAGGAAGGTTTCTCTGCAGCTCAGCCTGAAGCCAGCCCAGCAGGGGCGCCAAAACGGGCTTTCCCAGGCCTGTGCTGCCGGAGCCTGTCCTGGGCCACCTGTGGCTCCTGGATGGTTTCTTTGGTAAAATAAATCTTGGTTTTTGTACTGTAGCCTTCAGCAGTTTTCTGGGACTTGCCTATTACAGAGGACGTGCATAGCTAAGTTGTCCCCTGGAAGTGGATAGGGCTTAGTGCCTTCCCACAGCTTTTGTTTCCTTCTTGAGCCAGTTCCTTAAATGCCAGGTGATGTATCTTCATGCCAGCTGTCTCTGTCAGGCCACATAAGGGCAATGGAAATCAGAGGTCATATAGCAGTTCCTGTCTTCAGCTGCCTCTGTTCCTACACTCATGCCAGTCTTGTGGCCCACCCGTGTGCTGATTGGCCTCACTGGTTCCTATGTTTATTTGTTCACTTTCAGTCTACAGATATTTTAAATACTTAATGATTCAAGGTGCCTTCTCTTCCAGGTACTATGCTTATTTTTATCAGGAGACAGGAGGTTGGAAACTACCGGGACCTAATCCAGCTCATTGCCTGTTTTTATGAATAAAGTTTTATTGGAACACAGTCACATCCATTTGTTTGTATATTATCTATGGCTGCTTTCTCACTACAGCAACAGAGTTGAGTAGTTGGAGACAAATACTGTTTGGTCCCTATATTTGTCAGAGTTTTCCAGAGAAACGTGTGTGTGTGTGTGTGTGTGTGTGTGTGTGTGTGTGTGTGTGTGTGTGTGTGTGTTAAATCTAGGCAGTAGGCTGAACACACAGGAAGGAACTGATGCTGCAGTTGCCATTCTCACACAGTCTAGAGTTGGAGTTCCTCTCTTGACTTAGGTCCTTTTCCTCTTAAGGCTTTACATGATTGAATGGGTCCTGCTGACCTTGTAATGATAATCTGTCTTACTCCGCTGACTCAAATACTAACCCATCTAAAACATACCTTCACAGCAACACTAGACTGGTGTTTGACCAAAAATGGGGTACCATGGCCAAGTTGATCCTGTTAAGCTCTTTATGCTCGGAGGGCAGTCACCAGCTTTGGGACAGGCATTTGAAGCTGGTGACTATAATACTGACTTCCTTGTACAAGAACCAAGAGGCCATGAGTAAAGAGCTTGGCACAGCCTACCTCTCATGAGAGGACAGAGTCCCATGATGCTAGCCTGGTCACTACTGGGTAGCCTGGGGAAGTGAGGCCATTAGGTACTTCTGATAACTCAGGTTTGGAATCATTGGGTATTCATTTCTCTCCCAGTGCTTACGTGGGTGTCCATACTGGAATCCTGCACAGGTAAACTGAAGCTCAAATGATGTGACTGCCACAGGTCACTCAATGGTGTGGCAGAGCTGGCCTGCCTTTCACCATGGCAGTGGAGTTCCAAGGGGCTTACTGGGCTCAATCTCAGCTCAATGGGGGTGGAAGGCCCAAGTTCTTGTGGGGAAACAGGAAATGTACTATGCTGGGCAGGAGGAGAAAGGATGCGCAGTAGCCTGGCTACCTCAACCACTCAGCACCAGCCCCTGTTCCCATCTGGGAAGCGGACCCAGGGGCGCTGCATTGGGCCCAAAGGGCAAGGCTGTCCCTTCCTGTCCATGTTCCCATTGTTCCAGCACCAAGACCAGGTGCAGAGTTCGGCACCATTATGTGCCCTGCCTGTGACAGCTACACAAAGACCAGGACTGCTGCTTCCAGTTGCTGCAACACCTGGCATAGTTAAGGCAGCTTCCACAGCCCTCAGGAATGGACGCCGACATTTCAGTGGTGAAGAGTCTCCTACAGTCTAGGTGATGGGGAACTACGGAGTCATGTTTCAAAAAATATTAGTAGGAAAGTTTTCACTACATAATGAAGAAAAGCATAAGTAATTCATGTAGTATAGCATACTAGTTTTGTAAAAATTATAATATGTAAAAAATTTTATATGTATATTTTAAGAAATAAGCCTAGAAGTAAAGTAACCAAAATAATAATGGTGTATTTATCTGAGTCACTGGACTATGGGGATTAGAATTGTATGGTTTTTTTTTTTTATATTGTCCACTTTCCTCCAAAAGTGTTTAGAAATGAAAGTATTTTTAAAAGTGGGTCAAATGCTTGCACAAGGTCTTCGTATTACTAGTAGAACCCTGGATGGTCAATTACCTCATTCAAATTACGTGGAGGGTACCTGGTGTGGGCCTCAATGTCTTTGGGATCACAGGAGGTTCACAGTGGGTCACCCTTCTCATCAGGTATTTGCCAGGCTTTTACGGGTAGTGAGACAAGTCTTGCTCGCCAAGGAATGCCTTGTGTAAATTTTTTAGGAAAAACAGCTCTGAAATAAATAAACACTCCATCATTTGCAGAACACGGTTTTGTTTAATGGACAGACCCAGAAACAGTTCTGATGAGCAGTTCATTTGTAAGAGTAACAGGTACCAGTTGTAAGCACTTCCATCCCAGGTATCCTACATGTTTGTACATGTCTAATCTTTGTAATGTCTCTGGAAGAACCAATGTCCTTCTCTATAGAGGAAGAAGCAGAACCTGGATTTGCATCCATTTTCTTTGAAAAATCTGTACTCTCAAAACATAGCCTCTTTTCCTATTTCATAGGAATTTTTCAGGAATGGGTGACATGGCCTGGAGGCCAGTATTGCTGTGCATTTCTATTTTTGAGTCTTCCTTCCTGTCAACTGTCACTGATTTCTCACCCCATCAGTGGGTCTGAACTGACCACCTTTATTTAACCTCCTGGTCTGGTGCAACCAGATAAACAGGCCCCTCCCTAAGGCAAGGGAAGGGGAAACAACATCAGGGCTGCCAGCCAGGACACCAGTTCAGTTGTTTCTGCTTGGCTCAGCAGAAACGTAACTCCCAGGGAAAATGCATGGGTTTTGTGTCCATTCACAAACTGTTTCATTGCTCAAGGGCTTTTCCACTTGATTTCATTTGCTAACCGTCAAAAATTCCAAGTTGATGGCCAGGTAGGTGGTGATGCCTTACTGTCTTTCAATTCTGTGTGGAAAAAAAGATGACAGCTGCTATCGTTCCTCCTATTGTGCACAGCTTGACTGCCTAGAAAACTTTGTGAACTCACAGACATTCCCTAACTATGCCAGATCATTGGCTACTCACTAAAGATACCAGAAGTTAAAAAAAGTTGTCAAAATAACTGGCTAATTTGAATTTTACAATTGTGTAAAAGACAATCCTTGATGTCGAGAAGAAAGATTTGGTAGAGAAGTTCTAGAAAGCATCCATGTTGTGTGCCAACTGATTTTGTGGCAGCTACCTGGGCTCCACATTCAGCAACACGAGGCTGCATTTGTGCCCAGTGTGATAGACTTGGACCTCTCTGCTTAAATTCCCTGGCTGAAGGCCCTTTTGAAATCAAAAAGTCCCATTTCCTCATGTTATAGAGAGAAATGGAGGCCAAGATAAAGTAGCTCCTTAAGGTCAGGTCTCCTTATATGCAGGCAGGAGCTGAGATTCCCACACAGATGGGGAACCTTCTAGACTGTCTGGACCCACCTCAGGGAGGGTCCCTTCCTCTGCACAAGGGAGGCTCTCCCAAGCCCAGGTAGAGGGGCTGCTGTCCTGCAGCGTGGCCCTGGCCTCACCCCTGCTGCCAGATCTGCCTCCTGAAGGCCCAGCAGGTATGCAGAGGAGCACATCCCTGGGCCCCACCTTACTGTTGTGCCTGTGGATGGGACGGGCCCAGGATCTGCTCTTAATGACACAGTTTGGGTAGCTGGACTCTGTCTGTTCCCGCAGGTAAATTACAGGCTTAGTGAGTCCAAAATCAAATAAACACTGCAACTCCCAGCAGCTGCTCCAAGGAGAACAGCCATTTCCGGGAACAGTGGAGGCTGAGACAAACCTCTCCACCCAACTTAGTCTAATTACTACCTGTCACTCCCCTGGGACAGGGGCCCTTCTTTGACTCACATGCCCCAGAAACAGCACAGGGCTGCTGGGCCCCAAGAGTGACAACAACTTTAGTGACCCATGTTTTGAAAACTCTAAGACACAAAAGCACGTGCTGACAAGTCCCTGACCTTGCTTAGGCCAGGTGACAGGCTGCTCAATGTTGCAGATACATTGCTCTGGGGGAAATGGATTGCCCTTTAACATTGCAGAGGATGGCAATCAGGTCTCACTTCACATGCCACTCTGATCTGTTGTCAGACTGCCTGGAGTCCTGTGCTGATCATTTGGGAATTCTGTCCAGATTCAGAAGAAAAAACATCAAGGTTGAATATCGATGTCTGCCATGCAGAAGGAAAAGAAAGATGGTAGCATCTGTGCTATGCACTGTCTTCATGGACCACCCAGAACAGCCACCCTGCTTGCTCAGCAAAAACAAGTTTGCCACAGCCCTGAGTGCCTGGTGGGTCAGTGTGATGGCAGACAGATGGGTGAATTGGAAACCCCCGAGATTTTTCTGTTTCTTCAAAACAAAATGTCCATGTACTGTATGTCTTTCCCAGACAAGGCAGGAAGATGGGGGAGATACGTGCCATGGCGTTCCTTCAGCTTGTTTGTGAGCTGACCCTGAATGCCTATCTGTGGCCAGAGGGTTGGTAATTCAGATTCATAAATATACACTACTGAGGGCAGGTCCGTATTTAACGCTTCTCCAGAAATGCCCACTTTTGCACCTGGGAGGGACAGGCTACAGGTTTGGAGGGGTTGAAGGAGTCAGACCAGACCCTGTCCACACAGGGAAATGGACAGTGAAGAGCACCAGGTGGCCAATTTAGGGCTCCAGGTGCCTTTCAGGTCACACCACACCTGCCCACAACACGGACCTGTAATAGGCATGAATAGGACTACAGACAGGACTTTTATGCCAACGCATGTCTCCAGTGAGGAGCTGGTGGACTGCTGCTAAGGACTCAGACCCCTAGGGCTGCAGGCAGGACTCTCACTATTCTGGGCCTGGACAGGACCAAACCCTGGCGCGAAGGAGGAAGGGGTGGGGACATGAGGTTTGAAGGCCCTCCCTGCCACCCTACCCTTGGGACTGGTTGGGTCTGAAGGTTTCCTGCCTCTGGAGAGCGGGCTGACCCCGATGGGGAGCGGCGGCTGCAGCAGGGCAGGTCCGCAGGGCCTTGGTGTGGCCTCAGTGGCAGCCGCAGGCCTTGACCACCATGTTGCGGTGCTTGCGCAGGATGACGTTGTTGCTGCTGTCATAGTAAAGCACAGACGTGGCGCTTAGCTTGGTGGGCGCACAGCACGCCTTGGGGACAGTGTCTGGCTTCATCAGGTGCACCTGGCCAGGGAACGGACACAGGCAGGGTCATGAGCACAGCGGCCTCCTTCAAGGACCTGCCCAGCCCAGCCCCAGCTCGTGCCTGCTGCCCACCCCAACCTGTCTCACAGGTCTCAGTCCCCTAGCCACACCTGAGGTCATTATCCACCCACGACCAGGGCACGTCCCCCCATGCAGGTCTGTCCTGCCCACTGCCCTCAGGGCACAGCTGGGACACCTGGCAAGGCTGATGAGACCCTGCACACCTGTGCTTCAGCTCTCCAGACCCCCTGCCCACTCCCTGCATCACCCACTCCGGCCCAGACGTGGACAAACTTGCTGGCCAGTAGCACCACCTCCCCTGGGGCCTCCCTTCCCTACTCTTCTCTGTGCTTCTACTATGTCCCATCAGGTCTCAGCAGCAGCCTTGTAGACTGTCAGCCAAGGAATGCACACGGAATCAAAGGGTTCCCCTCTCCCAGCCTCTGGCCTCTGGGGAAGAGGGTGGGGAGACGGGAGTGTTTCAATGGACACATATAACAAAAGCAGAGCCAGCTGAGCACAGGACACATGGGAGGTTGGATGGGTAGGCAGGGTGGCTAGTGAGGGGCCTGGCATCCTAGGCCAAGGGCTAAGAGCTGTTCTGGGGATAACAGGAAGGACCCAGAATCTCTCAGTCAAGAATAACACAGGCCAGTTTCCATATTAGGAAGATCCCACAGGTTGCTGTGTGGACAGAGGCTATAAGGGGTGCTCCTGGAGGGACAGCTCTTGGTCCTCAGGACCCCAAGGCTCTCCTCATGAATCCCAGACTCTCCTTGGGCCACTGTGGCTCCTCTTCCTGCCCAGGTAGCCCTGTCTCCTCTCCTTCCTCCTCCCCCTCATCCTCCTCCTCTTCCTCTTTGGCCACTTCTCCTGCAGGGTTGCTGCTCCTCTCCAGGGGTCTCGTCTGGAGTCAGGACAGAGATGTCCACGTGCATGGCTCTCACACTCCAACATCGCCTTGGACCTCTGCTCAGCACCACCGTGCAGATCCACCTGTGCACCTGGCCTACCATGTGGGGTCTGGTAGGGCCTCAGCACGGCTACTGATGTCCTCTGACCCTGACAGCAATTCTGCCTCCATGCCAAACCGTCCAGTCTTCATCCTCACCTCACCTCAGTGGGTGGTGCCCTCATCTGCGTGGGGCTCAGGCCCTACCTGGGGCCTCCTTGGCTCCCCTCTTCCTTCTACCTGCTCCCCGAGTGTGGAGGATGCTCAGCACCCACTGTCTACGCAGACCACTTCCCAACCCCCACCAACCTGCCCTGACTCCTGTTGGGGCCATAGTCAACCTCACTGACCTCCTTGCCTCCTCCACTCTTCACTCTTATGGTCTACCCTGCCACAGCTGCTACACTTCTAGAGAGGAATTCAGTTGCAATAGGTGCTTTGCTAAACCTCCAACAGCTTCTCAGTTTACTAGGACAGCTTCTCAGTTTACTAGGACTGATGTCCTTACAGGGATCCCAGGCCATAGAGGAACCCGCCATGCCCACCCCAATCCCATGCCCTCCCCCCTTCTTGCCCTTCTCCCTGCAGGCCCCTCCAGTCTTAGGGCATTTGCACTTGCTCCTTGTCGTGGACAATTTTCTCTACCCCCTGCTCCTAGTGCAAACAGGCCCAGACCTGGCTTCCTCTTCATCTTTGAATGACTTCCCACTGGGCTTGCCTGTGTCCTCACTGTGTCTTCCACAGAAGACAGTGGCTATTCTGTCTTGTTTGCTGCTTGACAGGTGGTGAGCACTCACTTTTCTGAGTCCCTGGGGCCTGGGAGGCCAGTGGCTAGAGGCCATGGCTGAGACATGGTGGGGAGGGGATGATCCCTGAAGGGGCAGCACACCCATCACACCAGGGGCCTCCCTCCCCTGAGGCAAAAGGGCTGGGTGCCTCGGCAGCCCACACATCCTATCACCACCCTCAGTTGCTTCTTTCAAGACAGCATCTTCTGGGCATCCATCTAGTGACGCACTGCCCGTTGTGAAAGGAAGTGGTAGTTAGCATGGCTCAAAGGGGCTCCTGTTAGTTCCTTACTCTCTTCCAAGAAAGCACTTGGAACAAAGACCTGCTAGAAAAACATAAGGTGTAGGATACTGGGCTCTAGGATTCCAGGCAAAAAGTTCAACACCAGAACCAAAGCACAAAACTTGGCAATAAGGCACCGTGATCCCACTGGAAACTTCTCCATGGTGAGTGTGGCTAACTGAGGCTTCACCAACGCAGCGAGCTGGGAAATCACTGCCAGGAAAGAAGCCAGGGTACGCCCCAGTAGAAGCCAGGTGCAGGGCACACTGGGGAGTATCTGGCCAGGCGAGGGTGGTGAGTAGGCAGATGCCACATGTGCACTGTGTGTCTGTGTTTCAGGGAGGCCACCTACCAGTGTACCCAGTGGACCAATGCATGGAGATCACACAGGCATGTTCATCTGTGTCATGTGCACCTGACTCAGACCACAGAGCTGTGCCTGTGTCCATCAGGACCCACCCCACAGGTCACTGAGCCCCACACAAGAAGCATAGTGTCCAGAACCTGTGTGGACCCAACTGTCTAGCATTAAGTCTGCTGGGCACACATGCAGCTGAAGGAGGAAGCAGCTTTTCAGAGTGGGGCTGTGGCTACCTGGCTGAGTCCCTGCAGAGAAAGCACCTCTGGGCAGCAACTCTCTTCCTTCCAGCAGAGAATTTCTTTCCTCAGCCCCCCACCCCAGGGGTCCAGCGGCTGCAGTACTGACCAGGGACTGCAGGATGGCATGGTTGGTGGCATTCATGCATGAGTCCAGCGGGAAGGAGCACTCTCCATCACAGTAATAGGCCGAGTAGCCCTGAGGGGCGATGACCCAGTCCTAGGGGAAGGGAGAAGGTGAGTTCAAGCCATGTGGCCTCTCCAGGGCTCTTCAGCCCAGTCCTGACAAAGGAGGCCTGGGGCTGCCCCTCAACCTCCCTGAGCCTCAGTGCCCAGTACCCCACCCTCAGTTCCTCTTGGGTAGCCCACATCCCAGAAGCCTGAATCTGGTCAGTGACCCTCAGTAGATGGGGTTGGGTGCAAGTTCTGTCCCTGACACAACCCATCCTCTACTGTTTTCCCCGAGCCTGCCACCTCACATCCCCTGGGGCTGCAGTTACAGCAAATGGTGGAGGCCCTGTCCACCAAGCCTCAGTTTCCCTGCAGTAACAATGACAGTTCAGTTGGCTGAGGGCTCAGGTAGTCTCCGTGTTCATGGTTTTTATATTAAAACCACTTTTACACCATGAAAGCAGCGTGTTCTCACTTTAGAGAACTTGAAAAACTCAGAAGGAAAAACTACAGAACAAAATGAAAGCTGTCTGCATTTCCATCCTCCCAGGATATGCCATGGCAGTGAGTTTGGGAGAAGGAAAGGAAGGAAGTACCAGCCATCCGAGGTCCTGGAAGCTGACGTAGAGCTCATGCCGACGGCATAGCTGCCGACCACGGGAGCCGTGGCTGTCATCTGCAGGGACAGACAGTGCCAGGTCAATTCTGGGGCTCCTGCTCTGAGCAGTTACCATGGCGGGGCAGAGGGGCACATTTATCAAATAAAGGAGCAACAGGAAACTAAACCATTGGGTTTCACAAATCCTATTCTGGATCCCTGCTCAGGTCTTGACCCAGCTCAACAACCTTCAATGGCTCCAATCGCCTTGTCTTGCAGGCCTTGGAACTTCAGAATCCAGAACACAGCCCAGCAGGAACCTCAGCCATCTATCCCATGCTTCCACTTTCCTCTGAACACTGCTCCTGACTCCAGCCCACCTCCCTGCCAGGCCCACTCCACAGGCTCAAGGGCTTAGGGATCCTCCCTGGGAAGTAGGCTGCAGCCCAAGCCCAGGCCCAGGCCCAGGCCCTGCACTCACCAAAGATCCCTGGGAGTTTGTTGGGGTGCGGCAGCTCATTGGGCTTTTTTGGCTGCCTCCTCTTCGGGGGCCTCACTGCACGTGGGACACGGGTAGGACTTGGGCTGGCTCTGAAGAAGGTGACCATGAAAGGCTGTCTGGAGCGTGGTGCCTGTCGCCCCAGCAGACCGGCCAGGCCAGGATCCACACTGTGCCCTGAGACAGAGAGGACAGAGAGTTACTCACTGATGGTGGCCCTGCTGGGGACACAGCAGGGGCCTCTCTGCTCCTCAGCAGGAGCTAGAGGCTGGGGACCTGAGAGGACCCTCTGAACCTTGGTTTCCTCATCTGGAGCAGGGAGTCCCAAGTCCAGCTCCAGCTCCCTGACTGCTGTCTGAGGTGGGGGAGGGGGATGTTGTCAGAGGGCCTCAGGGACCCCAGGCATCACTGCCAATGACCTGGAGGTCATGGATATCTGTGCACCATTTGACAGGTTTTTCCCCACTAGTTACCTCAGCACTCCTTACAGTAGTCCATATTTCATACTTCACAGAAAACCCATCAGGGTCACCCAGTGATGACCACAGTCCACTGCTAGTGTTACTAGGAACCAGGGCTCCCTCTGCAGCCAGAGGACCCAAGGCCCGGGTGGGCCCTGTCCTCTGCCCGCACTGTCTGGGGACGTGAATGTGTGATTTATGAACCAGCAGCTCATGGCAACCTTAGCTAGGACTTGGCCAGGACTTGTTCTGCCAGCAATGTCCTGCAGGGCCTTCCCCAGTGGGGACATCACTGGGAAGACATCAGAACAAAGTCATAGAGCCCGGAGTTGGCCTAAGTCAACTCATTCCAGGGCCAAGGTCACTAGACCGGGCTGGTGGTTAGAAAGAAAGAAGGAAAAGGATGCAGGGAAACATGATCTGGGCCTCAGTCCCAGAAAGAGGAAGACCATGAAATGGACTTTACAGATTGGGGATGCCATTAAAAACAGAGTCAGCCTCAATATGCAGGCCTCCACCAAAACCAGCCTGCCTGCTGCTGTGTCCTGCAATTGGCCTCTTGTCTTTTTCAGTGATAAAAGCAGTGTAATAAATAACCACAGTGAAGAAACTCCTGATGGACCAAAGTGGTGCCATAGGCCTGTAATTCCAGCTACATGGAAAGTAGAGATTGGAGGATGGTGGTTTTAGGCCAGCCTTGGCAAAAAGTTAGGGAGACTCTCATCTCAACCAATAAGTCAGATGTGGTGGTACACCTCTATAATACCAGTTACACAAAAGCAAAGTTAGAAGGATTTCAGTCCAAGTCTGGCCCTGGGCAAAAATTCAAGATCCTCTCTGCAGAAAAGAGCACCTGCCTAGCAAGCAGAAGGACCTGAGTTTAATCCTCAGTGCCACAAAACAAACAAACAAACACAACAACAAACCATTGAGAAAAATACCATCCATAAAATCTGTCCCAGCACCGATGCTCATTTCACATTTCTGGGCTTATTCCATTGTGCTGTCGTCAGCACAGCAAAGAAGTCTGTATTTTTAAAAACTTTCTAACATAAATGTTTTCCCTATTAAGCTTAGATCCCACAGAAGGGAACCAGCAGGGTGGGGGAGAGGCTGATGGGGTGAATATGCTCTAAGTACATCATATGCATGTATGAAAATAGCACTAAAAGCTGTTAAAAAGAAGGGGGTTCAAAAAGAGGAATATAATTTGATGAATTTAAATATACATTACAGGTATGTATGTAAATATCACAATAAAGCTCTTTGTACAATTGATTCATGCTAATTAAATTTTTTTTTAACTAGTCCTGACAGGAAACATTTCAAATTCCTAAAATCCCTTCGAGCAGATATTCTGGACTTAATCATTAGCTCATCATTAGGAGTCAGGTTATTTCCTGGTTCTGTTATAGAGATGAGGATGCAGAACCTCCTCACTCTGAAATTCCTCATACCGAAGCACAGAAGCTCGGTGCTGTTCATTTTTGTGTCTCACTAGACACAAAAATGAACAGTTAACAGAAGTCCATGTTGTAAGCACCAATGCACAGGCACACATTGCTCTATTCACAGACAGACACATGCACGTTCATGTGTGCATTCTGCACTCAGGTCTGTTTATTCCACACGTATCCTACCAGCTTCTCCACTGCACAGCACAAGTCAAGGCCACTGCCTGCTCCACCTACAGTCCATGCAAAGGTCAGCCCTTCAGCAGCTGGGGCCTCAGACCAGGTGTCCACTGGCTATTTGATGGAATGACCCATCCACCTGGAGACCACACTTTGATGTATACATCATCTGCACCAACAAATGTGCTGGGACCTTGAGGTCAAAAGGCATGGGGTCAGCGCTACAAACTGCAGGGCTGGCACTGAGAGGAGGCCAGGGAGAGCCATACGAGAGTGCAGAACTGGCTGGGTAGAGGCCATGAGGAGTCAGCCGCTGTGAGGATGCTGAGTCACAGGTGTAGAGGAAAAGGCAATAGAGATCCCAGAGCACACGATGGATTGGCTGTGAGCAGAACTGGTGTGGGAGGTGGGGCATAGTGGCACGGGGATGGTCATAGTGCTTAGCACAGGAGTGGGTCCCACAGTCTGACACATGGGGTTGTCTCAGAGCTAGGGCAGACGCTAGGCCTGTGTGTGCCACTGCTCCCTCCTGGGGAGCCCTAGCCCTGGTTGACAAGAAGCTACCGAGGCAGTCTGCCCCATGCTTGGTCCTCCTTTGCTTTTCTTTTGGAGAACTGTGTTCAAGGGTCTTCCAGGGTTTCTGGCCATGGAACTGTATAACATATTAGATCAGTTATGTGGAAGATCCTTGCAGAACTCCTTGGAGCCAGCCTGGGTAGGTATTGGGGACCTCTGGGGCTTTCACAGCCAAGAGAGCTAGACTGAGGGCCTTTGGGTGCAGTCCAAGGTTCCCATTTTCCAAAAGCATTAATTAAGGCTTGGAAAGAATAGGAATTTTTCAAGTGCCTGAAGCAAACAGATGCAGAGAGGGATATTTGTACCCTGCCCAGCAGACAGTAGAGGCCTGTTTGGGGTCTGGGGTAGGGGTAGGGTAGGAGGGCAAGTAGTCTCACACTGGCTTTCCTTCTGAGCTATGCATCCAGCATTGCTGCAGAAGCCACCACCCTTGCTGAGCCCAGAGTTCCCCCATCCCGACAGATCTTCACTTTGCCCCTCAACCTTGGACAGACCCCTGGTCCAACTGGCTTCAGGGGAGGCCCAGAGAGGCCTGGGCAGACCCCCACCCGAGAAAGGCAAAGGTGGGACTTCACGAGCCTCAGGGGTCCAGGATCCCTGTCTATGATGTGACCTTGTGAGTCAAGTTGAGTGTGTGCTCAACCTTTTACAGTTGAGTATATGCTGGCCTGTGCTAAGATGTGGGAAGTCCTGTGTCCTTCCCCCATAGGCATTCATGGAAGATGCTACCCCTCTGGGCCCAGGGAGCCCCCTGAGGCTCCAGCTTTACCTGCAGCTGTCAGGCTCCTCCTGATCCCTTGCAGGGTTCAAGCCTTCATTCATGTCCATTCCACAGTTGTGTCAGGACACATGTTGCCCCATCTCTCCCCAAGGTGTCCTTCTGCTTTGGGGCCAGGTGGCCCTTCCTGCAGCCCTGGCCCCACCTCGCCCTGCAGGTGAAAGTGACCCTGATGTCATTGGACCATTTGTCTCCCTCTCCTTATTCTCCTGACAGACCTCCCACCTGTCAACATCTGGAAACTTCTGCCTCTCTACACTGCTTCTGGAGACTTTTCCCCACCCCCAGGGCAAAGCAGGTGTCCAGAGGCCCAGAAAGTGCCTGGTTGTTGACTCAATATATCCCATCACCCCCATCTGCTGGAGTCCCTCCCCTTCCCCACACCATAGGTTGATCTCTCCATCTCTCCATTCTGGGATCTGATCCTTCCTTGAAGTGAGGATCTAATGGGGCCCTCAGAAAGGAGAGTAGAATCTACTCTCTGACCAGCGCTCCTGTGGCTGTGAGGATCCTGGAGTTGAAGGTACCAAGAGAACCCTGCACAACAGGCCCTCAAAGCACCTCCACATACAACACACACACTCTCACATATAACACACACATTCTCTCTCTGACACACACACACACACACACACACACACACACACACACAGCTATCTACAGATTGTTTGACTTTAGGTGTGAGACTATAGATTCACATTCCAGAGATGCTGTTCAGTGAGGAGGGAAAATTTCACACAGGCCTGTTGAGCCTCCAGAACACAAGGGAGGACGGACATTATGTAATGTGGCTGACATGGGATACTGCAGCCTAAGTAGAGAGACCTGGTCCAGGCCATCAGCTAGGTTTCTAGGCCTTTGTGACACACATGGGGACTGGTTATGTACAGAGGAGCCATCTAGGTAGAATGCCAGCACCACCCATCCCCCCCCCGCCCTCCCCAGTTACCAGGTCCCTTCCCATGAAGATGTTCCTGCCTTCCTTTTAAGAACACCTATGCAGCTCCCAGGAGAAGGGATGAGCGAGGAGGAGGGCAGGCCACAGGGAAATACAATCAGGATAAAATGCAGGTCCGGGAAGAGGGGTCAGAGGGGCTAAAGGACAACAGCTTCCATGAGCACAGCCTTATGCAAACTTAGGTTTGTGTAGTTTTCATGGCAACCGTAAATGGAACCATAGGTGAACTCTGGGTGCGGTTCTTTTCTCTGTCATCATTTCCCCACATGTCGAGATTCAATTGTGAGGAGAGGCACTGGAGTGAAATCCTGCTGGGGACCCTCTGGAGCTACAGGTGATTTACTGTAACACCACAGAGGGTGGCTGAGGGAGGGACATCTAGTGGCCTCAGTGAGTTTGGCAGAGGTCTCTGTGGTACTCACAGGACACATGGGTTCAGGTTAGACTTTTTCCCTCTGTTTTTAATTAAAGTCACCTGCTCCTGACGGAACATAGTTTGTCTGGCTACAGAAGCCTGACAGCCCAGCAGCACTAGTGAGGTCCTGTGCAGAGCATTCAGGTGGTCACTGCGCTCTCTGGGGAGAGCAGCCCCAGAGCCCACACTTGGGTCAGGGCTGCTCCCACATCAGGTTGCCACCTGCTGCATGGGCCTGAGGTTTGGGGACACAGCAAAGTCACAGCCTGTGCTCTTCTTGAGTTCATCCATGGTACAGCCTTCCCAGAGCTCCATTAGCATCAGCCCCTTGCTTTCATCCACGTCAAACACGGCCTTCTCAGTGATGATGCGGTGCACACAGTTCTTCCCGGTCAGCGGCAAGGTGCATGTCTCCAGGATTTTGGGGGTCTTTTCTTTGGTGCAGTGCTCCATGGTGATCACCACTCTAGTATTGGGACTGGACACCAAATCCATAGCCCCACCCATCCCTTTCACCTTCTTTCCAGGTATCATCCAGTTGGCCAAGTCCCCATATCTAGAAACCTGCATTGCACCAAGCATGGTCAGTTGGAGGTGTCCCCCTCTGATCATGGCAAAGGACTCATCACTGGAGAAGAAGCAGCCCCCAGGAACCACAGTGACTGTCTGCTTGCCTGCATTGATGATGTCCGGGTCCACTTCTTCCTTTAATGGGAAGGGGCCCAAGCCCAGGATCCCGTTCTCGCTGTGCAGATAAACTGTCTTGTCGGGGCTGATGAAGTTGCTGGCCAGGACAGGAATCCCGATGCCCAGATTGGCATACATGCCATCCTCGAATTCCAGAGCTGCGCGTTTGACGATCCGGGTCTTAATGTCCTCTTTCAAGCTGGATTTGCTGTCTCCCTTGTTCCGAGTGGTTAGACGCTCGATTCTCTTCTCGAATTTTGGCCCCTTGATCACGCGATCTACATAAATGTTGGAAACGTGAACATCTTCTGGAGGAAATGTGCCCACATCCACAATCTCTTCCACCTCCACCACGGTGACATCAGCGGCCTTGCACATGGGCAAGTTGAAGTTGCAGGCGCTTCCCCTGAAGACCACGTTGCCTGAGCGGTCAGCCTTCCAGCCCTTCACGAAGGCAAAGTCCGCCCTGATTGCATGCTCCAGGAGGTAGTGCTGGCCCTCGAACTCCCGCACTTCCCGGGGCTGACTCAGGCTGAGCCGGTGGCCATCTGTGGAGTAGAGGACAGGTGCACCCCCTTCCTGCACCATGGTCCCGTATCCGGTGGGCGTGTAGAAGGCAGGCACACCTATACCACCCGCACGAATGCGCTCGGCCAGAGTGCCCTGAGGGGTCATCTCCAGTTCCAGCTGGCCAGACAGGAACTGCTTCTCACACAGCGCGTTCTCCCCCAGGTACGAGCAGATTATGCGCTTGACCTGCTTGGTGGTGAGCAGGAGGCCCAGGCCGAAGTCGTCTACGCCCACGTTGCTGCTGACCACCTTGAGGTCCTTCACGCGCGTCTTGAGCAGTGCCCCGATCAGGTTCTCCGGGATCCCGCACAGCCCGAAGCCCCCGAGCATGACGGTCGCCCCGTCTTTGACGTCAATCACCGCCTCCACAGGGTCTGTGTAGAACTTGACGCGGGAGCAGGGACTGGTGGAGAAGCGGCGGGCGCAACCCTGGAACAGCTCGGGCCCCGCATGGCCAGCGGGGACGCCACGCCCCAGCGCAGACGCCAGGAGCCGCAGCGCCGCCATGGTCCGCCCGGCTCCACCGCCAAGGACCGGCCAGAGACCCGCCAGTTGCACCCCAGGAGCGCGCCCTGGCCACGGCGCGCGTCACAGAGCAGGGAGGGCGCGCATCCCGGACCACGTAACAGCTTCACCGAGTTCCTGGCCAGCCGACATCCCAAACCCGCCGAGCTTCCCGCGACAGTGGGTGCCTGATGAAGGGGCGCTGCAGGATCACCTGATCTGGCTGATGCCCAGGGTACAGCCACCGTTCACTGAGCAGTGGTTAAGCACTTGGTTAGTCCCCTTGGTAACTTGCAGTGAGTCACTCAATGTGGGGAAGTTACCTCTCCCTCTTAGAAAGGGAGGGTCTTATTTTTTTCTTTGTTTTTTGTCGTACTGGGGTTTGAACTCAGGGCCCCTTGCTTGCTAGGCTGGTGCTCTACCACTTGAGCCACTCTGCCATCTCTGTTTTGTGTTGGAATTTTCAAGATAGGGTCTCGAGAACTATTTGCCTGAGGATCCTTCTGATCTCTGCCTCCAGAGTAGGTAGAATTACAGATGTGAGCCACTGGCCTTGGCTCAGAGGTTGTTTGTTGCTGTTGCTTTTGGCACTACTGGAGTCTGAACTCAGTACCTCACAGTTTGGTACCCCATCACTTAAGCCACACCCCCATCCTCTTTTGCTTTTGCTTATTTTTCAGGTAGGGTCTGGTGTTTTGGGTCTGACCCAGCTGGACCGAGATCTTCCTATCTAAAGCCTCCCATGTAGCAGCATTACAGGCCACTACCACACATGGCTTATTGATTGACATGTCTCAGGTTGTACACCAACAGAGAACTTCCTGATCCAGAGAGTTCTTTAAGATCCTGATACTAACTCTCTCTCTCTCTCTCTCTCTCTCTTTCCTGTACACTGCTGTTAAACTCTGAACACCTTGCCCAGGTCTAACCTGACTCAGAGTGACGCCTATCAACTCCTCTGTCACCTCTCCTTCCAAACTCTCCCTCCAAGGCTCTGCTCCTCCATTTGGCCATCTTGCTGGACCTTAGTCCAGTCTTGTGCCCACTTTGGGCCTCGTGCCCACTTTTGCCTCATGTAGAGGAAGCGCTACCAAAACACTGTGTGAATGAGTGAGTGAACCTCATTCTGTGGATGAAGAAACAGCTGTGGAAAGGGCAGTGGCCTGCCGAGGTCACTGACTTAGGACACCGCAGAGTCAGGATTCCAACCCAGACCCTAGCACTCAGAGCCTGAGGGTGCAAGATGTCCCCCCCTGTGCCCTGCAGTGAGGAACCTAGGCTGCTGCATAGGGAGAGGCACCCTTTTCTGGACAGGACCAGGGACTCTCTCTTAGGAGCTCAGATGCTCTGTAGACCCAGAGGAGGAAGCAGTCTCCTGAGGGCACCTCTCTCTTTCCACTCACTGAGTCCTCATAGTGGGCACAGACAAGAAAGCTGGGCACATGGCCCCAGTGAGGCCACTCTGTACAGTAGCCAGGCCTCTGCTGGAGCCACCAGGAGCCCAGAGGCAGCTCCCAGACAAGCACTGAGCCTCACCATCCTCGGTTTCCACACAGAGGCGGAGTCCCAGGTCCTTGTTACGGTTCAACAGCCAGCGGTCACTGGCTGCCGTGACGTCCAGCACCAGCCAGCCCTCGTCCCCAGCTCGGAGCGTCTGAAGATCCAAAAAGAACAAGTCAGACTCCCTGTGGACACGAAAGAACAATTAACTGAGGGTGCCAAGGCCAGGCACAGAGCCTCTGTGTGTCTGTTGCCTACTTCAGGGGCATTACTGGAGCATCTCGCTGCCCTGGCTCTGGGCTGGGCCCCTTTGGTGCCATACTTCACTAGTAACTCAAAAATGTGTTATTGTACCCATGTACAGATGGGGAAGCTGAGGCTCAATGGTTCAGTGACACATCCAAGGCCCCCAATCAGGACAGCAAGGTGAGGACTTTCTGGCCATGCATCTTTTCCCAACTCTGGGGCTGTCCTCCAAGGAACCTTCCCTTTCTGGGAAATGTCCTACCATACCCAGGGCTCCACAAAACCTTAACCATTAGACAATGAGGTGGGGTGGGTGCCTTGGGCAAGGGAAGGTACCTGTTGGAGTGCTCCTGGACCACCTCGAACATGCTGACATGCAGGGTCATGTTGAGCAGATGGATGCTGGGCTCCTTATAAATCCGGAACTCAGCAGCTGTGACTGCCTCCCCGGCTGGAATCTGGGTCAGGTCAAAGTGGAACTCCTTCCAGTGGGGCTCCTGGTGGTCCAAGGCACGGTCACGCTCCACTGGAAGGCAAAGCGGGGGCCCACAGTCACTAGCAGCTGGGATGGCTTGAGCTTCAGAGTAGGGCTCCAGGCAGCCTGCTTCCTCCTCTGCAAGCAGGCTTGTTCCAGGCTCTGCCCCAGGTGTAGATGGGGATCCAAGAGGTCATGTGCTGAGGAACTCAGCAAATGCTCAATAGGCTCAAGCCCCACTGTGACCCTCACCAGGTACCCTACTTGTTCCATGAACCACAGATGAGACAGCAAACAGGCCCTCCTCTGGGAGCTCCCAGGAAAAAAGGGAGATGGATGTCAGACCCAAGGCAGAAAAAGGCCACAGTCCCAGGAGGAAACCTGGTGGACAGGGACATAACTGACTGCATTTAAGTGGGACAGGGGATACCCCAGAGCCTGACCTTGTGCTTGGATTGGAGATGGGAAGCTGAGAGCTTAAATTTGACAGCTGAATGGGGCCATCAGGGAAAGAGCACCACAGGAAGGCCCAGTCCACTGCCAGAAACCAGAGAAGAAATTACCCAAGTTCTCTTTAGGGGGTAAGAAGGAAGAAGAGTCAAGGCGTAAAGGAATAAGAAACACAGAGGCAGAATGACAAACTCCTGGAGAAGCTTTCAAGTGCTAGAGAAATCTCAGGATCCATCAGTGTGGTGAGATCTGAGCAACCTTCATGGAGGAGGTGACATCTAAACTGCCTTGAAGGATGGGAAGGTGTCCTAGTGGGTGGAGGAGGTGGTAGGGGTGCTATAGGCAGAAAGGAACTGGTATTCCCAGATGAGGAAGATAGGAGCCATCCACACACCTGCACTGTGGGGTGCAGCAGTACTTTCAGTCGGGGGGAAGGTGGAGGGACTTGGAATCAGGGCTGGAAGTGAGCTGTGCCTCTGGTTAGTGTAGAGCCGTGTGATCTGAGAGGTGGACTGGAGGAAACCATGGAGGTAAGGGTGAAGGGTTAAGGATAGGCTGGGGATGTGAGCTGAGGTAGAGACCAGGGTGGGGCAGTCCTAGCTGTCTGGACAAAGCCTAAAGTTGTGGAATAAAGTCCACATCTGCTCAGCTGCACCAAAATGTCCAGCACGGTATATTTCGGGCAGTCAGTCTTTAGCCTCCTGTCACTTTCAAACATCAGAAATCTGTGTTTCCGGAAAGCAGGGGTGGGAGCCATGCAGTGCCTACCCCAAACCCAACACTGAGATTTTAATTATATGTGTTGTGTGTCTTTTTAAAAACTGTCTCTGGCTACTGGGCTTAGCAACCACATGTCAGGTTTTAAAAAGCACCAGGCTATGTGGCTGGGGCGGATGTGGGGAGCACTTCCTGTCCTAGTGGTGGGGACCTGGTCCAGGGATGGACATGCACACAGCTGTGCTAGGAGGCCAGGAGGTGGGAAGGCACATTGTGCAGGAAGCTCCATCCCCAGACCAGGGAGGAGAAGAAATGGAACATGCAGTGCCCCATAGCAGCTCAGGCTAGTTTTTGAAGTTTTACTTTATGATCAGAACAAGACTTTAAAATACCTTTTCCAAAATAGATGTATTCACTCACTCATTTATTCTTGCATAATACTGTTCTGGATACTGTAAATGCCTGAGGCCCTGGGTTTGATCCTCAACACCACAAAACAAGTGTGGCTCAAGTGGTAGAGTGCCTGTCTAGCAAGCACAAGGCGATAAGTTCAAAACCCAGTATCACCAAAAAAAAAAAAGTAAAATAGGGGACCTTTTTTTGTAAGTGGTAAGAAAAACATAGAATTATGGGCTCAAGAATGATGGCAGGGGTTAGATGCTTTCCATAGGGGCTTAGCATGGCCACTGAGAAACAGGTGAGATCAGATGTGAGCATTCTCACATAATGCTGATAGCATGCTGTTTAGAGGCATTTTGTAATGCTTAGCAAAATTTCACATGAATTTACTATTTGGCCCATCAATTCCAAAGGATCACTAGGTAAACTATGAAAAGACCTGGAGAAACCAATTCACTGGGCACAGGAAAGTTATGCCCAGTTCCATAGGCACCTCTAAATGTTTATTTTCCACAAAATCATAAAGCTGCCCAAAATGTTCAGACAGTGAACCAGCTTCTGTGTAGGGAAGTAGCAAATGGATTTACTTTCTTCGGCCTTAATGTGGCTCCCAGAAAAATAAACAATCATGAATCACCAACATGTGCCAATGGAACCCATGGCCTCTGCTGGAGTCTGATAAAAGCACCTCCAGATACCATGTTTCCTCCTGTCCACTGTGGGCAGGAGGAGGCCTCCCTGACCAGGCACTGTCCACATTCTGCCTATTCACACTAGGGGCCCTGTACCTACCATTCACCCAGCCCTTCAGATGTCAAACCATGTATCTATCAGTCCAACACCAACAAATAATTGGCTATTTTTGATTCCTAGACAAAATGAGACTCACACAGATGACCTAAATCTGTCTTGTTTCTGACCAAAAAAAAAAAAAGACTTCAAAAGATTCTCCCTTCTTCCTCCAAGTCAGAGTGGCTGTCAGGAGAATCAAATATTCTGAGCTGTCTGACCTCTCCTGCCTCCCCTCAAACCTTTCTTAGCTCTCCCCTCAGGAGGATCCTATGCTCAGTTCTGTGACCCAAGGTCCTCTCTGAGCCAGCCCGGCCATGTGTCTACCTGCTGTGCTTCTGCCTGCAGACATCTTCCTCCAGAGTCACTTTTGGGGCTGTGCTCTCTGAGGTGGCTCCCTCCTGCCATGTCTAAAGGCTGCTCTCCCCTCAGTTCATCTGAGGAGCATCCTCTTCCCCTTCCCACCCCTCACAGACCAGGCAGTTGGCCTGTCCTTTCCCTAGTGATGGGAGTATGTGTCCTGGTATGCTGCCCCTCTGGATGAACTCTTTAGGGTAGAGGCTGAACATGTGGGGTGTCAGGTAGCTCTCAGCAGCAGACTCATTAAGTCCTGTGTTTCATGATGGAGAAAGTACCTTCTGTCCTTTCTCAGGGTGCTTGTCCCAGCACAGAGGCTCAGTGTTCAGCCTCCAGTCCCTCAGGCTGGGGCATCACTGCTGGTCTGGAAGTGGCTTCCACATCACAACATCCCCACCAGAGGCCACTTAAGATTCTATATTGCTAGGACTTTTTGCTTCTCCTACCTAAGGTAAGAAACAGTCTCCCCAGAGCCCTGGAGGAAGATAGACTGGGACTGTCTGGCTAGTCCTGCCTACTAACAAAGGCTGAGGAGCCCCATTTAGACCTAAAAAAAGACCCTGGTCTCCTCAGCCCCTTCAGGTTAGAGGAGGAAGAGCCAAGGAATTGGTGAACTGTGGATTCTGCATCCTGAAGGGATTTCTTACACCAGATACCTCAGCACTGTGGAGAGGAAGCCCAGGTTCATTTCTGAGGTATTTTCAGCCAGTCTCATTACAAACTTTCTTCAAGAGCTGTTGTCCTAAGTGGCTATGCACACATAATTACTGGTCCACTCATCAGATAGATTCAGACCCTAAATTAAAAGAGAACACCCGCCCAGGCTACCACATCAAGCCTGCCAAGGTCAAAAATAGTCCCCAGGATATGAGCAAGAAGGATGCAATTCCTCCCGTTGAAATTCGGGAAAGAACTGAACAGTGGGAATTTTCCAGAAATTGGTGATCATGGTGACAGTTCCTCTTGCCTGAGAGGGAGAGGCTTCTGTGATGAGGTATGTTAGTTTATACCTCCCCACCTCATGCTCATCACTGGTGGATCCCATAAGTGGGCAGGGAGTGAGCACATTCTTTGCTGCAGGGGTGGGGAAACTGAGGCCCAGAAGGGGCAGAGACTTTGTGAAGGTCACATGTGAGGTTAGGGGCCCTTATGTGGACTTTTAGATTTGGTGCCAATATGAAATGAGTGGCCCTAGAGTTCGGTGTAGCTGTGATATTGGGATTGGGGGATCCCATTAACAAGGGTCCCTAGAATGTCTGCTGAATACATTTTCCTGCAGGCAGGGCCCGGTGCAACTTAGGGTCTCAGGGGAGGACTCAGGAAGTTGCTGCACCCATTATCAGCACCACAAAAGGGTGGACGGGTGGTTTCTGTCCCGCTGGATGGGACCCAGGCTCTATCACCTGACTTCAAAGGTCCCAGGCCCCTGCCACTCCTCTCCACCTTTGTGTCTGCCCTGAGCACCTACACACAGGAGCTGGGGCACATGGTGGAATGGGGATGCCATGACGAGTCAGATTTGGTCTGTTTTCAGGTTGCTCAGTTTCCCAAGGACCAGGAGAAAGAGGAGCTGGGGGTGTTTCTGAATTAGATAGAGTGAGCCTGGGATCCTAAGAGACATATGCACTATGTGGGCTGGGACTCCGTTGCTGAACAAGCCTGCCTCTGCAGCATGGGGTTGGGCTGGGGTTTAGGGAAGCCCTCGTCTACCCCCTTTTAAAAGAGAGGTGGAATTCTGGCAAGCAGAAGAGGAGATGGAAATGTTCTTGGCAGAGGGTACAAAGCAAGATAAGCACAGAGGTAGGACATAATAGATCAGCTCCATTTATTAACTTCCTGCTGTGTCTACATCCAACTGGTCACAATGCACATCTGCCCTGTTCTACAGAAGCCTGGGGGACCAGCTTCACTTACTTTGCCTTAAAGATATAGAAACTTGGTTTGGAGACTTTAAGCAACATCTCACAGCTCCTAGTTGCACACTCAGAATTAAAATCCAGGTTTAATATATCCATGGAAAGATGTGTACAAGAATGCCTAGGGCTGGGGATGTAGCTCAGTTGCAAAGCACTTGCTTAGCATGAGCAAGGCCCTGGGTTTGATCCTCAGCACCACACACACACAAAAAAAAATTCAGAACAGCTCTATTTATAATAACCCAAAACTGGAAACAACCCAAATGCCCACTGATAAGAATAAATTAATAGTGGTAAAATACAAATGAATGGGAAAATGAAAGAATTCCCTGGTAAAAACACAAAAGGAGTGACTCTGAAACCCTAGAGAGAAAGCATCACTTTTGAAGGTCAAAGGGCTGGTAAGGCAGGGAAGGACCCAGGCCCCTATTCCCACTCATCCCTGATTCTCCCAGTTCTCCCAGATCCAACAACCTCAGCTCGTCAGCACTCCTGTCTTTGGCCACTTGACAGCACAGGAATAAATTAGTCTGGTTCAGGAAAGGGTTGGGATCAAGGTGAAGATCCTGCCTAGACTAACAGCCTGTTAGTGCTGTTTGTGCCTCAGTTTCTCAGTCTGGAACAGGGGCACCTGCCTCTCCATTGAAAGAAGGGAAAAGGATTAAGAAAGCACATGCAGAGTTGGTTCTTCCTGCCTCCTCCCAAGGAGAACCTCCTCCTCCTAGAAGGGCCAGGCAGTCCCAAGGCAATCAAGTACAGGGATGGGGCAGCCTTGTGAGCAGGGGTCTCTGACACAGGCTGAAGATCATGGCTGGGAGGTACCTCACTTTTCTGACACCACCCATGCAGACTGAATGAGAAGGCAGAGGACCAGAGAAGGGATGTGGATGGAGACAAGCAGAAACTAAGGACAGGTCCAATTGGTGAAGATAAGGAACCTGGGTCTTGTGCTTAAGGCTCAAGCTCAGCTCAAGGAGCACAAGGAGACCAGGGACAGAAGCCATCTGCTTCACAGGGTTACAGCTCCCTTTACTGCACCCTGACCCTGAGGGCCCAAGGGTCTTCAGGCTGAGATGGACAGAGGCCAGGCAGGGTCCACAGCTCTGACCGTAGCCCTGGCTCACAACACAGGCTCTGAAAACCATGCCAGGCTTCTAAAGGACCTCCTCCTCACTGGTCTGAGCCCTGGTGGGAGGCCCGAGATGAACCCCAGCTGTGAGCCCTGCAGGCTACTATCAGCAGTCAGGGGCCTCACAGGCCCAGGCCTGGCTTCTCAGGAGCCAGAGGAGGCTCATAAGAGAGGTGCAGCTGGAGATAGCAGGTGTGGGATCTGGGCATGGACACCAACACCACAGGGACTCTGCTATTAGACTCCACAGTGGTTCTGGGGACCTGACCTTCAGGTTGGACCTGGGCCTCCAAACATGGAAGGAATCCTGGTACATGTCTAATCCCCACATATGGCCTGGGTAATTAGCTGTTAAAACTACTGTGGCCAAGGGAGTTGTACTAGTGCAGTGAGTCCATCCGAATAAAGAAAGCCCTTCTGATGGTGCCACCCACAACCAGCTGCCACTGAACAAAGGTCTGCTTGTTAATCCCAGTGTCAGAGGCCCAGATCCTAATGGAACACACAGAGACAGTGTGGGAAGAAATGGGATGTGGGATCCACAGCCATGGATGTTGCTCTGGATGTGCTGTGTGGCCATGGGCTGGCCATTTAACCTTTCTGAGCCCCTGTAATGGGGCTGGCAAAAGTTTCTCATGTTGTTGCCAGGACTAAACAAGGACTAGAAGGTGTGAAAATTCAAATGGTAGATTTTATTGTAAATGTAGGTTCAAATGCCTCTTGCTAGCTTTTAGAATCCATTTCTAGATTTCCATGCGCATGAGATATGTGGAGATTACTGGGCATCTCTAACCACAACTGGGCCACAGGGGGATGGGGGTCAGCAGTGACTAGGCCTAGGTTTAACCCTCCAAGATGAGTGGGGCTGTCTTTCTGCGCTTGACCCTCTGTCAACCAATCATATAACAACCCTGAAGATAGATCTCTAGGAACTCCACTTTAGAAGGAGAGATCCAAGGCTCAGAGAGGACAAGAGGACTCTACTAAAGATGCACAGCAGCAGTGGGCACTGCTCCCTTCACAGCAGCAGTTCCCATCAGGCCTGTGCATGCCTTGACCCAGGGGATGCTACAGAAAGCAGGACATGGGATGGGCAGTGACTCATTCTGATGGGCGGCTCCCCTAGGGACATTCTTGGGCAACTCCATCCTCAACTCTTCTTGGTCCTGAGCCCTGGGTCAGCCTGTCCTAAGGATGGAACTCCAGTCCCAGTCCCATACATGGTCTCCTCTGTTCTAATTCCTCACCCTGCCCTCTAAGCAGGCAGGCAGTGTCCAGATTCCACTGGCCTGGCCCTGGCCCTGAACTCTAGGCTCTGGTTTGCAACTGCCTCCCACTCTGCTCTCCCCCACCTCAGCCCACACCAGCACTGGGTGGGGACAGCAGAGACTTGGCTGTCCCCTCTTCTTGATCTGGTGTAGGAAACAAAGGGCTAAGGACCCCCACACACCCCGCTGTCCTGTGTTCCTCCACCCACAACCCTGAAAGCTCTGTCCATCCTCAAACCCTGGCCTGACAACAGAAATATCACCTCCTTGAGCACTGGGTGTAGAGCCAGACAACTTGGGCCTGTCCTGTGCTATTTGAAGCATGCCACTGCCTCTCTGGGACTCCCTGTCCTCACCTGGAAGATGGGGAGACTGTGGCTGCTCCCAGGGATGCTGGGAGGATTACAAGGGCTGCTGTGGGTGAGGGCAGTTGGTGGCCATAGCAGGGGTCCTCTCCCTGCTCTCAGCCTCATGGCCTGGTCCCCAGACTCAGCCTGCTGTCTGCTCTAGCCCAGGCCCTGCTTGTCACTAGACACAGACAGGAGGCAAAGCAGGTGGGGACCTGCCCCACAGTAAGTTCTCATGGCTTGGATGAAAGGGACTGGGGAAATAGTGCTGAACTTTCAGGGATAACTGGCTCCAGGGCTTGTAGAGGATTCAGCAGAGAGGAAAAGCCAAGCTTACCCGGGGAGAAAGCCAGGGACCCAAGCTGCCCCTTGGGTCACTCACAGGTCCCTGACCCACGGAGCTGGGTGTCCCTCCTTCCCCAGCTGCTCCCGGACAGTGCCTCACCCAGGCTTCCTGCTGCTCAGGCACAGCCTGCATGGGAGGCAGTTCCGGTCACTTTGATGATGTGACCACAGGTTTCCATGCTGACCTTTGTCCCTCTCCTTAGGACTGTCCTTATCACAGCCTCTGCTTACTCATCATTTTCTTCAGGACCCGACTGTCTTCCTGGTACCACCCAGGTGGGCCCGGTCCTCGCCCCGTCCCGGTCCCCGTCCTGGGTGTTTGGGGGCTGGGCGAACGCTGTCCCGGGAGCTGTTCCTGTCGCCGCACAGCTCAGGGAGAACCGCGCCGGCCCCCAAGCAGTCGCCGTCCCCTGGCTCCTGTCCACTGCACCTGACTCGCGGTCGCCGCCGGGGCCTGGCATTGCCCTAGGATGCACACACTGCATGGCAGCCGCAGTTCACTCCCGAGGGACCAGCGTGAGGGCGCTGTCACCCCGACCACGACGCACACCCGCCATCCACTCCCGCGGGCACCACCGCGTCCCGGCCGCCATCCCCGGGCCGCACTCACCCATGTTGACGAAGCTCATGACCAGGTCGGCGCGGCCCAGGCGCCGCTCCAGGGGCCCGGCGTCCTCGTCGTCGTCGCCGGCCATGGCGTGGTAGAGGTCCAGCATGAAGAGCGGCGCGGACGCGGGCAGCCGGGCGGCGGCGGGCGGCGCGCGGGGCCGGGGCCGCCCGGGCAGCCCGAGCACCGCCAGGATCTCGCGCTGCATGTCGCGGCGCTCGCGCGCTCCCAGGAGCCGCTGGGGACAGCTGGGCGGGGGTCGCGGGCCGGGGCCGCCGCCCAGCGCGCACAGAGCCAGGCCCAGGAGCCAGAGGGGCCCGGGGCGCGCGGCCATCGCGGGCCAGGCGGGGGCTCAGAGGGCGCGCATCCGCTCCCAGCCGGGCCCAGAGCCCCGGACCGCGGGACGCCCCGACGGCGAGCGGCTGGCTGGGCGCGCGGCCGGCGGGACGGGGCGAGCGTCGCCTTCGGCCGCGGCGGGATCCCCACAGCGTCCGCCGCGTAGCACCTGTCCCGCCTCGGCGACGCGCGGCCGCAGCCGGCACCGCTGAGGGGCAGAGGCTGCTTCAGGGACTAGGGACTCCCGGCTAATTCGTCTGTCGCCGCCGGGCCTGCCAGTCCCACGAGGCCAACAACTGCGGAGCTGGCAGAGGCGGCGGCAGAGTTCCGTGGGAAACCCGCGGCACAGATCCGCGAGTTACCTCAGCTCGGTGAGCCGTCGGCGCCTAGAACCGCAGCTACCGCCCTTCGGCCCCGCCCCTCCTTGGGCCGACCAATGGGGACGCAGGGGGCGGGGCCAGTGCCCTAACAAGGAGGCCCTGGGAGGAGTCTGTGCTGCAGCTGGCAAAACTCGCGGTGCGACCTCTGGTGGGGAGGGGGGAGCGATGGGGGGCGGGGCGGTGGAATGGGGGCTGGGGGTAGGGGGGGGGGAGCAAGCGAGGGGTCTTCAGGGTTGCCCTGGGCCCTCCACTTACCCGCTGGGGCGCAGTCCAGGGCTTGGCTCGGAGACTTCATAGTCTCGTGTGTCCCAAGAAAGCAGGCACCTGCGCTCCCGCGGGCCCCTTGGCGGGGATCCCGAGTCCTTAGCCCGCGTGGGTGCGGGGAGTCTCCGTGGGGCCCCGCTCACGTCCTCAGTTCTGTCTGGAGAGGCCAGCCATGCTCCGAGGGCAGGGCACGTTCCTCTGCCGGCAGCAGCCCGGCCACCGCGGCTCCTCGCCAGCTCCGTGCGTCTTCCCTGCGGTCCTCTTGCTGGTGCTGCTGGGGACATCTGCTCCGACACGTGCTCAGTGGCTTCCCCCGGCGCCCCTGGCCACTTGGCTTCCGCGTGCTCTCGGGCATCTCGGGGTCTGCTGTCCCCGCCAGTCCCCGCCTTGTGCCCTGCGCACCCCGCTGCCGATTCGGTGGCACTGTGGAGACGCGCGCCTGCCTCCAGTCGCGCCATGAAGCTCGTAGGCCCTCCGGAGCACCTGGGGCCACCTTTGCCCACCGTCTCGCTTGTCACGGCCGCCAGCGGCTTGCAAGACAAGGGTCCTCCCGGAAACCCACGGACTAGCTCAGCTCCTTTCTGCACACCTGCCCTCCCCAGCGGCCGTCTCTCACTGCATCGCCTCACCGGTGGTCAAGGTGCTAAGCGAAGTGGCACCTGCACTGAGCTCCGAAGGCTCAGCGACATTGGCCCTGAACGACAGGAAAGGTCAGTGGGAGGAAAGTACGCAAGCGGAGGGAACAGCTTGTGTCAAGACCCTAAATTCGAGGGAGCCTCTTAGTGGAGTCAACAGCACTTGTCAGGTGCCAGGCAACTTCGAGTGTGTTCTTTATCAGTTCTGTAATGTAACAAGTTGATATGGGGTATACACCTCTTTTTAAGAGGAGGAAACTGAGGCACACGGAAGTTAAGTAAGGGACTACCCCCAGGTAGGTCACACAACACTGGAGCTGGGGTGGGGCAGGTTGGCACCTGCAGGTTTGTTGCTCAGTGGACCCAGGAGAACTGGGTCCACTCAAAAAGCCAATGCAGGAAGAGCTGTCAAGGGCCCTGCACCTTAGGTAGGATCCTGGCATCTAGCGATTATGGTGCCTCCGTGTGGATTCAGAACTGAACTCCCCCAAAATAGTATGATGTCACCAAAATCACACTTTGCCATGATGACTTCAAAGCTTTAAATATCAACGAAATTTTTAATGCAATTATTTGCTGGTGCTTCAAGCACATGCCTAGCTTGTCTTTTACCCAGCAGGTAAATTTCCACACAGCTTGCAAGCCCCATAAAGACTCTGAACCTTAACATAAGGACAGTGCATATTAGCCGATGTGCCCAAGGTGAGACCAGAGCCTGGAAGCTGAGAGCAATGTGGGTTACAGGGAGTCTGCAGGCAGGGTCTGAAGTTGGAGGCAGGCAAAGTAGGGGGGAGATGGATAGGGGGTGACAGTAAGCACCAATGGTGATGGGGTGAAGGGGCAGAGAAAGCTGTTTGGGAGTCTGAATCCATACAAGTCAAGGGGTTGTCCATGCCGCTTGATCAGGGGCTCTGAGTCTCCTGGCCACTGTCTCCTTCCCGTTACAATGTCCACTTGGCCTATGGACCCTCCCCACCCCTACACACCACAGCATTGGGAGCCTACCACCTAATCCTCAGATTTCCAGCTAGATCACTGATTCTTATGACGGAAGTTAATGATTTCAACTTAGGATGAGTGGAGGTAGCCATGTGCTCCCAACAGTGGCTTCATATTCCTGCAAATCCAATCAGCAGGTTTTAGCCACCCAAGGCACTCGGTCCACAATTCAATTCAGCAACCACCATGGTGAACTGCTCTGTGCTGGGCTCTGAGCCAGGGATGAAGCAGGCAAGACCCTGCCCAGAGCAGTCCCTGCTTTAACAGGGGTGACCGTCAGTGAATTTGATCATTTCTAAAGGCAAATGAAAGCCGTGTCCCCAAAGGAGCTGACAAAGTGCCTGGAAGGTCAGAGGAGCTGGTAAGTGGGGGGTGGTCCCTATGAGCGGAACCCAGGAAAGCAGAATAGGGAGGGCCTTGAGGAGGGGGAAGTTTCCTAGAGAAGTATCAAACAAGGTTTCTCTCAGTTATCTGGTGACTCTGTGACCTTAACCTTTCAGGATACTTCTCATTGATTAAAAAAAAAGTACTAAATGAGGTGTATATAGAGCACTAGGTACAACCACTGGCCTACAGAATACACTGAATAAAAATTAGCTATTGTTACTGTTACTATTGTTATAATATTATCACACAATTCAAAGCACCAAAAAAAAGCCCATATTTTTCCTCATTACCGTAGTATAACTTTTTATTATAAAAAGTTTGTTTGTTTGGTTTTTGGTGTACCGTCCCTGTAGGTACTGCAATATGTGTTTGATGCGTGAAATGGATGGAGCAAGCTCTATTCCATCTCCCTGCTCCAAAAATCCATTTAATATATTATCCTCAGATAGAGGATGTATCAGATATTAAACTGATAAGAAAAGATACTACACTGGATCTTAGCTAAAAGGCTGGGAAGTAAAGCAACTGTTTTTAATTGGGTTCTGGAAATTGAACTCAGGGCCTCACTTGTAGAAAATATGAAAAAGAAGCCAGGCATGGTTTTGCCACCGTAATCTCAGCACTCTGTAGGTGGAGGCAGTAGAATCACAAGTGTGAGACCACCCTGAGCTACATAGGGAGACTCTGTCTTAAAAAAAAAAAAAAAAGGAAAAGAAAATATGAAAGAGTAAAATCTTTCTTTCTTTCCTTTATTTCATTTTGGTAGGACTGACTTTTGAACTCAGGGTCTCACACTTGGAAAGCAGGCACTGTACCACTTGAGCCATACCTGTAGTCCATTTTACTGTGGTAATTTTGGAAATGGAGGTCTCACAAACTATTTGCCTGGGCTGGTCTCAAACTGCAATCTTCCAGGTCTCAGCCTCCAAAGTAGCTAGGATTACAGGCCTGAGCCACTGGTGCCCAACTTGATGTATCTTTGTCTGACACACTTCTGAATATATATATATATATGTGTGTGTACATATATATAAAGCAGTGCTGAGCATTGAGCCGAGGGCCTTGTACATGGCTAGCAAATGCTCCATCACTGAGTCACATCCTCAATCCGGTGTGTTATTAATACAAAAAAATAATTATACTTGCTTTATTCATTTCATGATATGTTCCAACATTTCACATGGCAGTATCTCATACATATTTTTTACAGGCCTTATGGTAATTTTTTTTACTATAAAGCTATCATAATTTACCTAAGGAAACCTGTGTATTATAGAATACATTCGTGTTTTTATATTTTACATAATGCTATTATGAGCAGTCTTGTAGACTAGCCTGTGCCCATCCATAATGATTTCTTTTCTTTTTCTTTTTCTTTTTGCCGACTGGGGTTTGAATTCAGGGCCTTCACCTTGAGCCACTCCACCAGCTCTTTTTTGTGATGGGTTTTTTTTTTAAGATGGGGTCTGGCAAACTATTTGCCCAGGCTAGCTTCGAACCACAATCCTGATCCCGGCCTCCTGAGTAGCTAGGATTATAGGTGTGAACCATCTGCACCTCAGCTTCATGGTGATTTCTTTCAGGGTACATTTTACAGATGAAGATCTGGATCAAAAAGAATGCATACGTTTTAAGGCTTTTGAAACATTTTTTTTCTGTTGCTCAAATAGTATGAGGGTGTCTGTTTTCTCTTACCCTTGCTAAGTATTATTGTTAAATACATACATATGTAAATAAATATCTGACAATTTGACAGGTCAAAACATCTCTTTGCTGTTGTAACTTGTACACGAGCAATTACTGTTTTCTTCCTTTTCTTTTTCTTTTTTTTTGGGGGGGACTAGGATTTGAACTCAAGACTTCACTCTTGCAAAGTGCTCTACAGCTTGAGCCACACCTCCAGTCCCTTACTCAGGGCTTCCCTCTGTACTGCTTGAACCACTCCTCTAGCCTACTCTCTTCCTTTTGAAACAGTCCCTCCTCTGCCTTCCAGGACACCTGCTCTCCTGCTTTTCCTTCCTTAACCTCTGTGTTCTGGGTCTGTCCACAGTGCTGGTCTCCCGCTTGGGCTCTGCTTGGTGACAGGCTCGTCCCTCTGACCTCAGTGCTGTTGCATGGCCGTGCCCAGCTTCAAGCATGTTCACGGCACACACCTCCCCCAGATGCCAGAAGTTATATCTGCATACTGATTCGATATGATCAAAGCCGTGACCTAGGAGCCCATGCAGGCCTTCACCACTCTAGGATTCTTTCTGCCTTCTAATGCCTTTTTTTTTTTTTTTTTTTTTTGGCAGTATGGGGGTTTAAACTCAGAGCCTACACCTTGAACCACTCTACCTGCCCTTTTTGTGTTAGGTAGTTTCGAGATAGGGTATCATGGAACTATTTGCCTGGGCTGGCTTCGAACAGCGATACTCCTGATCTCTGCCTCCTTAGTAGCTAGGTTTATAGGTGTGAGCCACGGGCACCCAGCTTCTAATGCCTCTTGAGTCCCCTCTTATTTTCAGGTTCACGAGTGTCTCTTCCACTCTGGATGATGGCAGCAGCTTCCACCTTGTCTCCTTGTCTCCATCTCATGACATACCCACCCTCATCTCATTCCCCAGCATGAATTTCT